CGATGAAGTGGTAAACGCGACGCATCGTTAGACAACCAGTTACTCTGCGTTCTCGTAAAGTGGGCGAAATTGACGGCAAAAATGACCACCATAGATCTCAATCGCGATCCCAAGCACAAACACCCCGACTTGCCCGTCCCGAACGAGATCACCGAAGGAAACTGGAGCGATTCCTCAGACGATAGCGATGTCGAAAGTCCTAGCATCGGCGAGGCCGCACAGAAGCTGCAGCAGGTGGAATGGCTTGCCACGTCGCGCGCGAAGCGGTCCACGGCCGGCAACCGTATGAAGTCGATGCTCGCCAACGAAGAGCCCGCCGCCGAAGACTCGGATCTCGAACTCCTCTTTGCCGAAGACGACGACGACGCTGGCTTTACCGACGAGGAAAAGGATGACGCGTCCGATGTCCAGATGGACTCGTCCTCGGACGACGAAGACGACAAGGACGGTGCTGCCGCTGACGATCTCGAGGGTGAAAAGGAGCTGGAGCGCCAGGCAAGGGAAAAGAGGAACGCGCAACGGAAGAGGAAGGCTCAGGAGGCTATCCCCATCAAGTTCAGGAAAAGGGTTCGCATCGAGCAGCCACCGCCAGCCACGGGAGAGAGTGCCACCGGAAGTCCCGCGCCGTCGACGACAGGCACTCCTGCTGCCTCCTCTGTCCGGCAAGGACCGGCACCGCGCCCGCCTAGACCCAAGAAAAAGTCGGAAAGGACGAGTTGGTTGCCGACCCCGGCCGATATGCCCACGCGAGCGTCCGAGCGCAGGACGACCAAGATGAGCAAGGAACAGCTTCATCAGAAGATGATCGACGACGAGATTCGCCGCAAGAAGCTGATGGAAAAGATGGAGAAAAACGCAAAGAGGTTAGAGGCCTTGAAGAAGCCACCAATGACACAGGCGGAGCGGTTGGCTGAGGCAGCTCTGGTGGAAAAGAGGAACGAAAAGAGCTTGAACCGATGGGAGGAGGCGGAGAAGGTGAGGGAAGAAGAACGCTTGAGAAAGATCGCGGCTCTGAACAATCGCAAGCTGGACGGTCCGGTAGTCACTTTTTGGAGTGGAATTCAGACGTTGGAGGAAGGACAACAGAAACACGTTGGCAAGATGGTGTCCATGGAGGAGAAACCGGTTAGGAAGAAGAGGCAATCTGTCAGCGCTACTCTTGCTGCTCAGGAGGCGGCTGAGAAAGAGAAAGCAAAGGCCGAGGAAGCCTCCAAGCAAACACCATTGACTGCGAAGGGAGATGACAAGTCGGCCGAGGCGGCACCCAAACAGGACAGTAAAGTGGAGGCACAAGCGGAAAAAGCAGTTCCGTCAATAGCATTGTCCGAACAGCCACAAAAACCACCAGACGTTGTTATGAAGGATGCGCCCGAACCACCACAACCTCCACAACCATCTACACTCGCACCTATTCGAGGACCTATGGCCCCGCCGCCTATCCCTTCTCCGCCGCCGCTCGAGACTAAGCCTGCGCCTTCATCAGGAGTTTTAGCTGCCCCCGTCCTGGCCCCACCAGGAGGAGTAGCACCCCCTATGCTCGATGTCCAGATGCCCGGGCTAGCATTTCCTTTTAGCAACGGGATGTCGAACGTTCTTGCGCCCCCTAACACTACTTCGCCTCTTTCAATGCCTCCGTCTTCCGGGAGTTTGAGCACGCTTACGCCTGTGCCAGCTCCAGCTCCTACTCCAGCTTTGCTTTCTGCGCCGGTGACGTCGGCCCCTACTACCACTCTCAGCTTTGCGCCCACACACATCCCAGCACCCGCACCCGCACCTGCTCCTGCTGTTTATAGGCCTCCTCGTGATCTGCCTTCACCAGCTACTACAGTATTCACAACTACTATTCAGACTAAGCAGGCACCGACGCCTCCTTCTTCGCAGTCTGCCATTGTGAGCCCCGAGAAACTAAACAAAGAGGAGAAATCAACCGTGCCACGGAAGGATGACAAAACTGAACCAGAGGACAAGGGCGAAGAAAGTAGGAAAGAAAATAAATCCGACAATGCGAATACGCGACCGGATCGGCCCCAGGAAGGGTCGACAGCGTCCACTGATCAACCCGCCGCTGAAGGGGAAGAAGGGAAAACGGTCAATAAAGTTACCCGTAGCTGCATCATTCTCCAGAATTTTGATGAAGCCGCCATCAAGGACAAGCAAGTTCAGACGCAGATTATCTTTGGGAGGAGGATGGAGAAACTTGCCAGTGAGTTGAGCCCCATTAGCTCATCAGCATTCTTATTTCGTCTAGTCACTAACAATCACCAAAGAACCCGCCCACCCTCCACTCTGCGTTGTAACTGGCCATCCAGCCCGTTACCGAGACCCCAAGACTGGCCTCCCCTATTACAACGCTTATGCCTATCGCGAGATCCAGCGCGTGCACAGGGGTGATTACAAGTTCAGTGCGCTGTTAGGAGCATACGTAGGCAGCGGAACGTACGCGGCCAAGGGCGTGCCAGAAAGGTTCTTGAACCCTAACGGGAAGAGGTCGACACCAAAAGAAGATCCAGCAGTCAAACTAGCCAAGCTGAAAGAGGCTGAAGAAGCGGAAAAAAGAAAAGAGAAGAACAAAGAGGCTTTGGAAATGGAAAAGGCCAAGGAGATTGAGGCCGGGGATAAAAACCTGGATAACGTCCAAGCCACTGAGCTGCCGCCCCTGAGGCAACCGAAGCTACCGCAGCTGCCACGAAGACCAAGTGGCACGGAGGTGACCAGTGCTATCAAGGCAAGGAGCAAGAGCAAGGAGACGACGAGACCGTCTGAGCCGAAACGGAAGACGTCGACGTCTTCGTTGCCAGCGACGATGACAGGGCCGGTGGTGCAGGCTAAGCTGGAGCCGATTGAGGGTGTTGCTCTTCCACTCAAAGCTACTAGCGCTCCTGCACTTACACCTACTCCTAAACCAACGGCAGCGACAACGACGACGACAGCAAACCCATCATTATTACAACTATCAACACCAACGCCGCCACTACAAACTCAAGCGCAGTTCAAGCTAGTGGATGATGTGAAGATACAAACACAACAGCTACCACCCCCACCACCGCCACCGGTGAAATCGACTTCTTCATCAAATTCACAGCCAACATTATCCCAGGCATCACAACCACAACCACAACCACCAGTCCAGCAGTCTTTGACGGTTCCTGCTCCTGCTCCAAATCAAAATCCAGCTGCGGCGCCAATCTCTTCTTCAGCAGCAGCCCCAACTCAACCACCAGCCAACGACGACCCAGTCAAGTCAGTCGATTCAACTCAGCCGTCGCAGCCTCCTCCCTCTGCTCAAGCAGTAGTACAAACACCCATAGCAGAGACTCGCTTCCTACCCGCTCCTGTGCCGGATATGTCATAGCGGGGACATGCCGCATTGTACAGGGGGACGCTTGGAAGGAAGAAAAGGAGTAGGTTAGATATCGTGCTGAATTGATCACGATGAGTTGAGATGGATGAGTTGAGATGTGTACGTAGATATAGTTGTCTAGTATGGAAAGTGGTGTACTACTACTAGTGAGTGTACTATCGTTATCGTTATCGTGATTGTTGCTTGTTGTTCAAAACATGGATGGATGACAACCAAAAAGTAAAATGTAGGAGTACGAACGAGTATGGGGTATGGGGTATGATGAGTATAGATAGATAGATAGATAGGAATAAAGGTAAAAAGAAGTACGTCAAGTAAACACGGAAGAGAGACAGAGAGAGAGAAAGCGATGAGCAACCTATCTACACTAAGAAAGACACGGACAGACTGGGGGGGGGGGGGGGAAGACTCAGAGTACCTACCTACCTCACTACGCTACATGTGCAATGATGTTTTTGTTTATGCTGTTTGTTGTTGTGATAAGATGAGAATATCCAAGTCCAAATTAAACAGTAAAAAAACATGGAAAATGATACCACCTCATACGTAAAACCACCCAATGGTCACGACATTGCTTACATAGTAGATGAAAATTTGCCCGCCTCCATCCATCATGAATCAATGCTGACTTGACTGACTGACTGTACATTGATTGCTACGTTGCATTCAGTTCTGTGTTCATATCCCGCCCCCGGCGTCTTCAACGCAAACTTTGACTGGTCGAGGCTGTTTATTGCTCATCACAATGGGATTTATACGTATGTTGAGAATCACATGCAAAATCCAGTGATTTTTTCGGTAAAGGCACACTTCACAATACGCCAAGCCATGTGTGATATGGAGTTGGAAGAAAAAAGAAAAAAAAGAAGAAAAAAAAGAACCTCGAAATGAAAATCGATATTCCAAAAGCAAATCGCATTCTCTTTATGAATCTCCCACGTGGAAGGGGTCAAGTTTCCGGAAGGAACAAAGAGTTATTAAGAAATTCTTGAATCCAATATGATGGTAATAATAATATGTGCGAGCACTAACGGACAGAGCCTTGGTCAGATAAACGGATCAACATCAGAAAGTCTTCTGCGCGCAGACCTCGGTATGATGCCGGCGCGGTTTCTTGATACGTTCATTCCTTTTCCTGGCCCGAGTTGTTGGAGAGAAAGGCGGCTCCTCTCTCTGATCCTAGGGAATCAAGCACAACCACAACCATAAGCCAACCTAGGTCAACTCAGTCAGGTCTCCCTCTCCCATCCCTCACATCTCCAGTCTTCTTCCTCGTCCCTTGAACCAAAGGAAACGGCCTGGTCAGGTACGCTCGGCGATACCTCTCCTTTGTGCAATGGCGCCAGTTCAAATCGTTTCCCCCCCCCACAATGCTCACAACCTCCCCTCCCTCCTTTCCCTCCCAACTCCTCAGCTCCGTCCGTTTGGGTATCTCGGTATGCAGGGCTGTCGGCTCGTCACTGCTTTGATTGCACTCTAAACAATGGGTAATATCGAGGCGCCCTATGCCGTTTAGATGTCGATCTGTGAATGCCTCCCTTTGCCATCCCCCTTCATTTCATGGTCGCTTCCGGATTGTAACAAAAAAACGGGGCCGGCGGGGCCAAAAAACATTTCTCACTGCAGGAGTATTCTGGTCTCACAGAATCAAGCACTTCTTGTCCCTTTTACTTGTCTTTTTCTGAGGCGGCTCCAGTGCCGCAACGATGGCCTAAAAAAGCGGGTGTCAGCTTCGGGCAACTTCACCACTCACCGACAATAGCCGTCCTGGGAAGGGCCTACCTCATCAAACACGTTCTTGAGACCTTCCTGTGTCAGCGCACTGCACTCGACATATTTGACGGCGTCAAGATCCTGGGCAAGCTTCTCTCCCTGCTTGAACTCTATCATCGACTGCTTGCGCTGGGCAAGCTTGTCCCTCAGTTCCTTGTCGGAGCGCAAATCCTTCTGCGTTCCGACGATGAGGAAGGGCACGCCGGGGCAGTGATGGTTGACTTCGGGGGCCCATTTCTGGGACACGTTTTCGAACGAGGCGGGCGATGCAACGCTGAAGCAGATGAGGAAGACGTCGGTCTGGGGGTATGATAGCGGACGTAAACGGTCGTAATCTTCTTGTCCTGCTGTATCGAACAGGCCGAGCGTGTAGGGCTCATCACCGATCCTGAAGGGAGGTGGCGCATATCAGCTAAAGTCCAGATGATAAAGAATAGAAACGGGTGGGCGTTGGCTTGTGCAGCATGGGGGTGCATGCGCGCATTGATGGGATCGGGTAATTGGAGGAATGGGCAACGTACATGACGGTGACGGCATAGTTGTCGAAAACTGTCGGCACATATTCCGAGGGGAACTTATTCGTTGTATAGCTGATGAGGAGACATGTCTTTCCAACGGCACCGTCACCGACGACTACGCACCTGCGGATAATGGTTAGCCTTGTGTTGCTTTGTCTCGCACAAAGCGATTGCGGACCGGGAAATGGGACATGCGTCCCAAAGGTGCGTGTAAGTGAAGTCAGGCAGAGAGCGGAGCGGTCTAGGCCGTCACCACAGCAGCGACAGTCGGGCGCCTGTAGCACTCTCTCTATAAGGGGTGGTTTGTTTTGGCATACTTGATAGTTCCCGTCACCATGTTGACTGATGGCGCCCCAGACGGGTTGCAGGACGAGTCGCGGGCTTGATGCTAGGCTAAGAGCTCGACGACGGAGGTGAGAGAGGATGGAAGGAGCGATGCAGCGAAGCACTCTCCTTATCGCGCGCTGTGATCAACGGTGAATCGGTGTGGGCGACGGCGGAGTGGAGTCGAAGGGATAAGACGAAGCAGGACGACTGGGATGAATGGCGGATGTTGATGCTGGCGGCCGGGCACCTTTGGCGGTAGGGGACCCGGTGGTGGTAGTAGTAGTAGTAGTAGTAGTAGTTGTTGTAGCAGTAGTCCTAAGAATGGGTGGAACGGACAGAGTGGTCGATGACGGAGGGAGGGTTTGCTGCTGGGGGGAAGAGAGCTGGAGTTGGATGGCGGGACTAGGTAGGTGTGGAAATCGCAAGGTTGTAGAGGTAGCACAGGAGAGAGAGTGGGCGCGAAGAGGTCGTAAAGAGAGAGAAACCTGGAAGGGGTGCAAAATGTCAAGGCACCTAGGTAGCTTGCCAGTAGAAACCTCTAGGTTGGTTGGTAGTGTAAGACTGAAGCTCACTCTGTAGGCGGCGGACGGACGAGTTGCGGTGGATAGGTAGGTAGGTAGAGAGCGAAGGGAGTGATGGAGTGGACGGGATGGAATGGGTAGGTAGGTAGGTAGGTAGGTAGGTAGGTAGGTAGGTAGGTAGGGTCAGAGAGAGTAGGTAATGGCAGGTGGATGGAGGACGGTGGAGGACCTATGAATGCCCGGCTGCCCTGGCCTTGCAATGGATTGGACGGATTGGATGGGGGGAATGGGGGGATGGGGATCCGACCGCCAGTGACAGAACAGCGATCAGTTGGTCTACACTATTGTATGTATTGAGGCGTAACGTATTGCCAGATAGAAGTCCAGACAACGATGACAGGGCGTGATTGATGCACAGCAGCACTCTGCACTCCCATGTGCTAGGTAACGGGAAGTAGGGCAGAGGGTTCCGTTATGTATCAGCAAAACAAGCGACCACTGGCACCTTCGGAGGAGTGTAATTGGACGTTGAAATGACTCGGGACTTTTTTGCCCGGCAAAAGCAAATAACTGCAAGAAACGAGGAAATAAATATGGGATTCGGCAATTTGCTACCAGGGCTCGGTGGTGGTCGGTCCAGGTGGTGGTAGTGGTTGTGGGCTTGCCCGGGTTGATGTTGTCGTGGGTTTGGCAAGTTTGTTGCGCATCAAACCTAATCGATCAGCCTCATCCAAAGTCGGAAAAAAAGACGGAGGAAAAAAGTGACAGAAGAGAGCGCCCTGGGGTCCTTCGAGAAGTGCGAGCGTGTGCCTTCGACAGCGGGCAGGAGGGATGGAAGCTCGAACTTGGCAGGTTGCAGGTGCGCGCGGGAAGGGCAGCGCACTCGTCCCGTCGGCAGGAGAGGAGAGGAGAGGGACTGTGCACACGGACACCAGTGGGTGGGTGGAGGAGGAAACTTCCATCCATGTCACTCACTATCGCAACCTGAAGGGAGAAGCTATGATCCCGTTCTCATTTTACCATTGTTACCACCTTCCTAACCACGACTAACAACATGTCCCGTCACTACACTAATCACTGCTGGGTCGGGCAAGATTGTCCCTCATGCTGATTGCCCGTTGCTAGGTAGTGTAGTGTACCTCGGCGGTTGTATACGGGCTGCCACCATCGGGGCTGGCAGTGGCGTGCCAGTGTCTTGGGCTTATCGACGGTCCGGCGATCCATGCAACACACAGTGCATATAGCAGCAGACTTGAAGTTGACGTTCAGCGAGTTCACTATCTGTGTGAGACTGCATCTCATTGTACCTGCTTGGCAGTCTCGACTCGGACAAAAAGCAACACCGGCACTTTTGAAGAGAACCGTTCTTGAATACACATCGGCCAGCATGGATGGAACTTGCAAGGAATCTGGCGAACTCCGGCGGGTCGGTTGCATTGCCGCCCATCACCAAGTTCCCTTGACGTAAATCTGCCCTGTTGCCCGACTTGGCACGACGGTGGGAAGCTCTCCACGGACACTGCAGTTACCGCCATTCACCACCACGCCATCCATCACAGCATCCACAGCCACACGGATGGACATGGCCGTCGCCACGCCTCCCCGCACATCGCCCTCTCTTGACCTGTTGAGAGTCTCACAGGCATCAAAACCAGTCTCAGGGGGGGCGTTGTGCCTGGACTCGTACCACTGTCAAACCGCTAAAAGAGCAATGCAGACGGCAGCTTTACTTGACGGTTGGTCTCGAACTTGCCGCGAAACATCAACTCCATCCAGGTTACGGTAACGTGAAAGGGGGCCAAGCATACACACATACGTAGGTAGGTACGACATCATTTTTGGCATCTGCTTCTGCTTCGGAACCACTTCCCCGTACCTAGGAATACCACCATGATCACCACAATCTTTGGTCCAAGTTTGCCTTTTGGCGTCAGGTCCGGCTCCGACACCACATGGAAGACCTGCGCAGTCTTGGTGGCACAAAAGGGCCCTTATGGGCGTTTCAACGAATGGACTTCGTTCGTCCACCATACATCATCCTGGATCAATAACCCGGCTGTAATGTTGGCGTCTGCAAGCTGCGCTTCCGCGGCGTCTTTTGTTTCCTCACACAATGGAAAAGGTGCTTTACATACATACACTTGGGGGTAGCAGATGCACGACACATTGGGGCGCCGCCATGAGCCCCTTTGGAGACATGCCTCATTAAAACATTCTCCCGAGTCTCAGGGGCTACGAATCTGGAGAGTCACAGTCACCTTGAGCCTTTTTTTTTTTTTTTTTCTTTGTGATATGATGTTTGTGTCAACGGATTTGACGATACATAAACAGTACCCTGAGCGTCGATCTCCCTCGGCCCCAGGTCGAATCAGAACTAATCTTCTCCAGATGTTATGCACGACAGCAATCGGGGTCACAGTTCGGGGTCCTTGATAGCCTCAGCTCCATGACCCTGAAACAGCCGCCAACCCGGAAAGGGAGCGCTTTATAATGGAACAACACCACGAGGAACATGGCACACAAGACGCCATCAATGCCATGTGGTTTCGAGTTTCAGCCCGAAACAATCAGTCCAGAATATCTTGGTCTGCGCATATGACTGATGTAAACGAGGCAGTATGGTAGTCGCTCAGCCGGTACCCATCTAGATAATACCAGCCATAAATCTCAGCCCAGGGTTAGGGGTAACTTAAGGGTTAAACAACCAGGTAAGGAACCGTTGCCGCGGTGCAGGCATTGCAGCTGAGTGAGTGGTGCATTGCCCAAGCTGCCATTTTGGAAAAGCGTGAAACATGGAGTGTACAGTAGAGTATCATGTCGATGTTTGCATCAATTTATGACGTTCATCAAATGAGGTGGATACTCCCCCTGTTCAGATCTAGAGGGAGCCATCCGCTGCACCTTGAAAATGTTGGCAAAACGTCAGAGAAATGTGAATCCGCATAATCTTTGGTTCCGATATTTGGGAAGGGTACAATGTACATACGTATTTGTTACCAACCAGCCAGTTCACCGCGGTGAGCCCGACACCTCACCGAGCCAACAGCAGCGCTTCAAGGACACATGAACTCCGGTTTCACGGACAACAACAAACACATCACAACTGTGCAGAACTTGAACAAATCATCCAAGGGACACAACCGCAACGAACCAAAGCAGCTCACAGATACCTACCTACCCATCCATCCCGCCAAGACTCCACTCAAGTTTGATCCTCAACCTGGCTCAATTAATCTTTTGCATGTTTCGAATCCAAATCGGGATTCAGCCTCATTAAACGCCTACGCGCCGAGCGGAAACGTCGTCAAAATCACTTTCATCTCATTATTTTCGGATCCAGTCCAGTGCAACAGAAGCCCAGTCCCCAGGGCCTTATTTCGGGATAATTTCCGTCGTCACAGCAACAGCCAGCCACACAAAAATACACCAAACAACGACCGGCAACACGCGGCTTAACAGGTCAACGCTGTCAATATCACCTTGAGAGCAGAGCTAACTCTGTTGCAATTACGATAATCACGATAAGATTCGGAAACAACCTGGATCCAATAGAAGGGAACAAGGGAACGAGGAAACGGGGCTGGGCAAGACTACGTCACACAGGACCTCTATTCAATTTGGCTGGCTGCTAAGGGAATAAACATTCTGCAGCCCGTCAATCAATCACCCAGCACGGACGGACCATCACCGTATTCATCAAGATCACACATTCATTCAATGCCCTCACTCTTCAATCATCTATCTAGCTAAATCTCACCCACCACTCCCCTTTAAACCTCCGGCCTGTCACATTCTCACATCCAAAATGACCACCATCACCACCAAGCCCCTCCTCCCCCTTCAAGATGCTACCGCCTCCCCATCCTCTCCAACAGAACAAGACTCCTACAACACCCAAATCGACGCCCTCCTCACCCGCTACCTCCTCTTGCTAGACGAGTACACTACCCTCCGCTCCTCGCTCTCCAGCCTGCAAGCCGGCACGTACCAGAACCTGGCGCGAGCAAACTTTACCGCTGAGCGGGGCGTGCGGTACGGGAAGGAGTACTTTGATGAGAGGATGGTGGCTAGTAGGAGGGTTGTGGTGAAGGTTGGGAAAGGGACAGGGAAAGGGGACAAAAAAGAAGAAGAAGAGCACGGTGGGTCGTGGTATGAGGATGAGGGGGAGCAAAGGGTTGAGTTTGGGGTTATGGAGGTTGATGAGGTAGAAGTGGTGAAACAGAAGAAAGAGGAGGAAGAGGAGGAAGAAAGGGGGGAGGATGTGAAGCAAGATGAGAAGAAGGAAACGGAAGAAGTGGTGGGTCAGGACGAGGAAGCTAAGGAGGAGGTTATTCAGAAAGCAGACACAACAGCAACAACGACAACACCAGTATCCCCTGACAACAGCTCCGAGACCCCCTCAAAGCCAGACAATGATACTGAGGGCGACAAGGAAGATGAAACCAAAAAGAAGATTAGAAAAAACGACCCCCTCCGCTGGTTCGGCCTCCTCACCCCGCTTCCGCTCCGCCTCGCTCAGACCCAGGCCATCCAAGCCGTTGAGCAAATCATTCCGCGGCTGGTGACGGTTAACGCGGAGATGGCGCAAGTGGAGATTGAGGTACGGAGAGCGAGGAAGAGGAGGGAGAAAGCGGCTGTCAAGGCGAAGGCGGCGAAGGCGGCGAAGGCGGCGGCGGCGGCTAAGGATGCTAAATAAGGGTGCTGAGGGTGGGTGCGAAGCTGTATTATAGGTAAAAAGAGGAGGGAGAGAGGGCAAGAACGGGAGATAAAAGTAAAAGATTTGTAGACGTGGAAGATGGGAATAGCGTACAACAATGGCGAATTGGTGATTAAACTACCTAGCTTCGACTCGACTGAGCCATGAATAAATGACCAAAAAGCAACGGGGCATCACCGTGAGTAAAACCAAATAGATGTTGATGAAATGGCAATTGATAAGTTATCTAGAGTTATCTATCTACTATCTCAATTCTCCATGTCACTATCCTGTCATGACGAACGTCTTACATTTACCAGGGCGGTTATTCCCGCGAGGGGTAGCATTGCAACCTTATGCCAATCTTTCCCCTCACTTTTTTTTTTTTTTTTCTTGTTTCTTTACTTTATTATCGGAGATGCCATCGGAGAGATGAGGGAGGTACAGGTTCCATTGAATCGAGACACCTGATTATAAGTTTATTACCGTCCTATTTCTATTCTTCTCTTTTCACGACTCTTTTTCCAACAAGCAGCGTCTTTTGCATATCGCTTGAACTCTCTCTCATTTCAGTTCTTTGGTCCCAACCAAGGGGGAAATCAATATCATGAGAATACTAACCTCACTCTCCTCGGCCGCTATTCTACTAGTAGCTTTCGGGGGGCAACTGGTCCAAGCATGCCAGCACCACCATGGCCATGACGGTGATGGCCATGACAAGCAATGGACGATAACACCCGAAGAACTAGCTGAACTGAATGAGTTGGAGAGAAAATGGGGGACGGATGTAGGTTTTCACAATTCAGCTTCACTATGAACTACTTTCTTCCATGGCTCTTTCTACTCGGCCCGGCCAAAGCTAATACTCTGAAAACCTAGTGGTCATTCTCCGGCATAACCACCTTTGCCCATCTCAAACACGTCAAATGCCTGACTACGCCCAGCGAGAAGTTTGATATTGCCATTGTTGGGGCGCCGTTCGATACAGCGACTTCTTATCGGCCTGGTATGGTGGTCACTTTTTTCACTTTTTTACCTTTTCACTGCTTGGGTGCCTTTTCCACTACTCACTTATCCTGATCTAACTACACCTGCCTTACCTTGATCTGACCCGGTCTGATCGAGCCGAAAGCTGACAACTTAGCAACCGTGGCAATGAAAAGGCGCCCGCTTCGGTCCCCGCGCCATCCGTCAAGCATCAAGCAGACAAACCTCCTTCCGCGGCTTCAATCCCCGCGCAGGCATCAACCCGTACGCGAGCTGGGCGACCATCATCGACTGTGGTGATATCCCTATCACGCCATTTGACAATGCTGTGGCGCTGGGGCAGATGTCTGAGGCTTTTGTTGAGCTGGGGTCGAGAAGTGCTCCCCTGGGTGAGAAGGTGAAGGGGAAGGGGAAGGGGAAGAGGAAGCCAAAGTTGATTACTCTCGGTGGTGATCACAGCTTGGCGCTGCCGGCGTTGAGAGCGTTGAAGAAGGGATATGGGAGGGAGGTGAGGGTTGTGCATTTTGATGGTTAGTTCTTCTCACTTTTCACTTTGCTCTTTTCCGACCTCCCACTTTGTCAACCGATGTTGACAATGACCCAAATAGCCCACCTCGACACCTGGCACCCAGCCAAGTACCCCTCCGCCTGGCCCTCGACCCAATCGCACTTCAACCACGGCTCCATGTTCTGGCTCGCTGGGCAAGAAGGTCTTTTGTCCAACAGTTCTTCCGCCTCCAACATCCACGCCGGCCTCCGCACCCGCCTCTCTGGCACCGACCCCTCTGATTTTGTCGATGACTCCTCGCAAAACTGGCTGCGCATCTCAGCAGACGATATCGACGACCTCGGCGGTCCCGCAGGCGTCATAGCTGCCATCATGGACCAATTTGACTTGAACGACCCCGATCCAGACCCGGTGTACCTGTCCATCGACATTGACGTGCTTGATCCGGCTTTCGCTCCAGGCACGGGCACGCCGGAGCCGGGAGGGTGGACGACCAGGGAGTTGATAAGGATTTTGAGAGGGCTGGTGGATGTGCTGAATGTGGTGGGTGCGGATGTGGTGGAGGTTAGTCCGGCGTATCAAGGGAGAGGGGAGGAGACGGCATTGGCGGCTGCGCAGGTTGTCTATGAAGTGCTGACGGGGATGGTTAAGAGAGGGTTGAAGGACGGTTCTAGTGAGGAGAGGGCGGAGGGTGGTGTTGACAAGGCTCATGATGAACTTTGATCCTTGGCCGTTTACCTGGTAGACTAGTTCTCGTGGACGTTGTAACCCTTGGCTACCTCCACCGAGGTCGATGGAAGCTCGTATATCGGGAAGCTGTTGGAGTCACACCCTCCTAACAAGCCAGGCATGCATTCTCCCCCAAGAAACGGTGAGAGCAGAATCAGACCCGTATCGATGTAGCTGACTCACGGAGCACGAGCGGTCAGACCTTCGTCTGATAACGGAAATGTGTCTGGACCTTGGTGCTCTGACACGGGACGAATCATGAACACCCGGGTATTCGGCCAGATGTTTCAACTGGTGCCATCGAGAGCCAAGACTTGAGATGTAATGTCATGGAGTGAGAGGAGTTATTGTTTGGGCGTCTTGATGAGTCTTCAGTTCCATATGCCGAGGGATGAAGAGGAATGGGCTGTTATCGCGGATGATGTAAATACTGTTGTTAGAGGTCAGATACGTTGCGGTCGACCATCCAATGCAGGAACCCTAGAGCATGATATGCCGGACAGATAACACGGCTCCCCGTTGTCTTTAGAGGTACTTGTAAGTAGTTGTAGTGTGAATTGCGGGCAGTGATGGACGTTCCGTCTGATCGGGTGAGTCACCGACGTCGCTGCTACCAGTAGTGTAGGTCCCCGGGCGATTGCTGCCCACACTGCCGCAGCGCTAACAGCGGCCCCCTTCTGCCCCGCGTGCGATACGTTTAACATTTTGGGCCCGACCTGAGGTGACCCCACCATCCCATCTTCCCCCCATTCACTTTTATCTCCCGCCGCCCCGCGCAAATCTTGGGTCTTGTTTTGTCTTTGCGCGACAAGACAAGTCAATCTCCAAAATGGCGACACCACAAGAGCTCGCCGATCGCACAAAAAGCGACGCCAAGGTCTACGTCGACACAGTCGCCGGCAAGGACGACGAGTCCGCCGACGGCTCCGAGGCCAAGCCCTACCAGTCGCTGTACCACGCCCTCATCCAGAACCTCGATAAGCCCGCGCCCACATACCTTACCAAGGTCGCCCCCAAGGAGGGCTCTACCGATGGCCCAACGTGGGAGGAGGCTGCCAAGAGCGCCATGAAGAAAGCCGTCGGTCGCGTCGACCAGTACAAGAAGAAGCTGCAGAAGGAGAGGGAGGCTCTCAAGAAGGAGGAGGAGGAGCGCCAGCAGCGCCTCAAGAACCTCGAGGATGCCAAGAAGATCCTTCTCAAGGAGGATCCTTCTCTGCCCGAGGCTGTCCGCATCCGTCTCAACAACAAGTCCATCGAGCTCGGCGACGAGTCCAAGAAGGGCACCCGCGTCAAGGTCTTCGGCCGCATCCACCGTCTCCGTGTCCAGAAGCACGCCACCTTCCTTACCCTCAAGGACGGCTACGGCTTCCTCCAGTGCGTTTTGCCCGCTGGCGACCTTACCAAGAACTACGACGCTCTCTTGTTCGCCCAGGAGACCGCCCTGGTCCTCTACGGTGAGCTCAAGAAGCTCCCTGCCGGTGCCACTGCCCCCGATGGCCGCGAGCTCCAGGTCGACTACTACAAGGTCCTCGGCCACGCCCCCAGCGACCTCGACGCCATCACCAACAAGGTCTCCCGCGACCAGGATGCTTGGGATGCTGCCATGCTTGACAACAGGCACTTGGTCCTCCGTGGTGAGAACGCCTCTGCTCTCATGAAGCTCCGCGAGTTCGTCGAGCTGGCTTTCGTCGATACCTACCGTGAGCTCGAGTTCCGCAAGGTCTCTCCCCCGGCCATGGTCCAGACCCAGGTCGAGGGTGGCTCTACCCTCTTCAAGTATGACTACTACGGCGAGGAGGCCTACCTCACCCAGTCCTCCCAGCTGTACCTCGAGACCGTCCTTGCCTCCATGGGCCAGGTCTACTGCATTGAAAAGTCTTTCCGTGCCGAGAAGTCTCTTACCCGTCGCCACTTGTCCGAGTACACCCACGTCGAGGCCGAGCTGGACTTTATCGAGTTCAACGACCTTCTTGACCATCTCGAGGAGATCATCTCCAAGGTGGTCGACCGTGTTCTCAACAACGAGACCGCCGCTGGCTACCTCAAGGTCCTCAACCCCGACTTCAAGAAGCCTGAGAAGTTCCTCCGCATGAAGTACGAGGATGCCATTGAGTGGCTCAACAAGCAGGATCCCCCTATCCTCAACGAGGAGGGCAACCCCCACGTCTTTGGTGACGATATCGCCGAGGCTGCTGAGCGCAGGATGACTGACATCATCAACCGCCCTATCCTCCTTACTCACTTCCCCGTCGAGATCAAGGCCTTCTACATGAAGAAGGACCCTAACGATCTCCGCGTCACCGAGTCCGTCGATGTTCTCAGTAAGTTTGGTCTGTCCATTCACGTTTGTAACGGTTCATCACTAACACTGATCTCCAGTGCCCGGCGTCGGCGAAATTGTCGGTGGCTCCATGCGTATGGATGACTACGATGAGCTGATCGAGGCCTACAAGAAGAACGGCATCGGCCACGAGCCTTACTTCTGGTACACCGACCAGCGCAAGTACGGCACCTCCCCCCACGGCGGTTACGGTCTCGGTCTCGAGCGCTTCCTCGCCTGGATGGCCAACCAGCACTCGGTCCGCACGACTTGCTTGTACCCCCGCTTCATGGGCCGTTGCAAGCCTTAGATGCTGTTAGCAACAACACGGAGTGGGGTTATGGTTGGGGGCAAGGTTGAGGTTGAGAAGAAGGAGGAAGTGGTCGTGATTGTGTTCATGGAGAAGAAGAATAAGAGTTATGGCTGTTCTTCAAAGCAGCACCAGCGGCAGAAGAAAAGGCGCAGGGCATCTACTACTGCTGCTGCTGCTGCTGCTACTGTCATGGGCAGCAACAGGAACAAGCAAACCGAAAGGAGAAGAAAGAGAGAGAGGAAGAGAAGTAGAGATGTCATGAGGAAAATTCAAAGGATTCTAGAAACGCGTGGAGTCTGGTGCATGAGGTTTACAGCGAATATATGGACCTTGAAGTTTCTGTCAATTATCTTGAACTTTCCTCTTCTGGGCGCGACTTATATATATATGTTGCAAGTCTGTCGTTTGATTCGTCTGATTGGTGATGGGTCGAGGGGCATACTCGGACCTCGGCCCTCCGAAATCCCACAACCCGGACTTCTCAGGGAACTAACCGCATGATCACGGTTTGAAGAAGATGGAACATGTGATACCTGATTGACGGGATCTTGAGAAGTTGGACTGAGGAGTAGGTCATACTGCACCAACACCTTTTTCCAGTTTGTGCCGAGAAAAGTTGGTCTGATGCTTCTGCATCATACACTTCAGTTCGCTGCGATGCACGATCTACCTAGATGAGGTAATCGGGACGGGCGCAGTGTCCATGGCAAGTTGTCAAGTGTCAAGTGTCAAAAAAAAAGTCTCCCTGTCAATGCCAGAGAGTGTGAAAAGTGTTGATATCAACCACAGTCCGTTTATTACATTAGATCAAATGCTCTTCTGAACACCTTCTCACTCTCGGCAGTCTACTATGTACCTTAGTCTGTACCCCCACTTTCTTATACTCTTTCACAGTTACCACACAGCTCCCGAGCATCGATGTTTATATACCTATATTGTCTAGACATGATTTTTACTCTGATCCCACACACAGATGATGATGTCGGCGTCCTTTACTGCGTCATCAAGTCTCCAAAACGGGCCCCCAGGACTAACAAGTCCCTCAAGGGTTTCAGTTTCCGATTGAATTTGGGGCTCTTTTGCTTTGTTTATACAGCACTGCCCCCCCAATGAATCAACTGTCACTCCAACCGCGTTCGTTGCGCCCCCCGCTTTGCCCCGATGGATGTACATGTAAGTATTCATAGTGCAGAACCTTGAGAAACCCCGGATTCTTGAGAGAATACCATAAACAGTATTACATGCCCGTTAAGCATGAGGCCGAAAGGTTCCAAGGTGAGAAGCAAGCACCGAGGTACTGTACTTGAGTAGGTAGGTAGGTAGGTAGGTAGGTATGTATGTATCAAAGCCGCGGCAAGCTCACCCAGGTACCTACTGGAGTATGGTAGTGTAGGTATCTAATATTTAAACCTGGAGGGAAGCAAGCAAGCAAGCAGTGAGTGATGTACGTCACAAAGATCGCCGAAAGGACGGAGTGTTTGAGAAAAACATGGCAAGTTGTATGTGTAGTGTAGTGTAGTGTAAGTACTTGGCGCAAAGTGCAAAACTGCAAAACTTTCTCTCACTGTGAAGTAAACTTTTCTCCCTCACTTGCTGTGAGCTTCAGGCTGCAGTCGGTGGTATGGCATGGTAAACTTAATGCCCTCTTCTTTGCTTTGCTCTGCTTTGCTCTGCTCGCTGCTGACACACAAGCGCGCGTAGCCGAGTTTAAAGCCAAGCCTGTGAATGTGAAGAAGAGTTCGGTAGGACCCGCCGTGCGTGACAGTAAACAAATGGAAGTTACGGACGACGACAACGGAAAAGAGAGCTGGAGATCTCTGGATTACCGGTACCTGGTAAGTACCGAAGGTTATGGTTTGTGTATGCATGTGCTTCATTGCTTTTTGTGTATGTATACTAAAAGGTAAAGATAATCTGGGGAAGGGTTTGGTGGAAATGTGTAGTGTACGCAGTAATTGAGGACAAACTGAATTTCAGGGGTCGGTACGTAGAATACACTAGAGAGGATATTCCAGAAATAGATATACATATGTGAGGTATTTTCCGTTTTTGCGCTTTTTCATTGAGAAGACTGAAGGGTTGGTTGGTTGGGTCGGGTCGGATCGGATCGGTGATGGACGGCCAGGATGCTGATGGGAAGGCAAGAAACACCACGGTGTCGGCGATTTGAACACCGTCTTGAAAGACGGGAGTGGGGCATGGATTCGCATTGGGATTGGCTTGGATGTGGCGGGGTGTTCTGGCGAGGACTGTTCGCGTTCGGGGGTCTTGACGATTTGAACCCCGGATCGGGGAGTGAAGGATTCCCGTGTTTATACTGCTCAGTATGTCTTCGGTGGTAATTCGAAACGAGCGAATGCCGCCGTTTTCAGTTTACTGAGTGTTCATAATAGGAAATCAACAGCCGTGAACGGCAACGACAACTGCCAGATTCGTAAATCCCAAGTATACAAGACTCCCATTATAGTCATGTTCCCTGTCCCATATCTTATATTGTCGCTATACACTAGAACACTCAACCTTCCGCAAGCAAGATATAAGAAGCTGCGGGTAGGCGATCGATAATGTCAATCTTCGTGGCATTGCTGCCGCCGCACAGTTTTCCCACGGTGGTGGTGGATAATAAACACCGTGGATAGAGAGACAAGGTTTGGGTGGAAGTCTGGAGTCAAATTTCACAAATTTCCGGATCGATCCGCTCGCTGGAGGCGATTGCGATTGCGATTGCGATTGCGGAGGGCAGGCAGGATACTTGTTCTCCTGTCGCTTGATCGTAGACAGGTACCCTTAGTACTGTACACGTGTAGTACCAAGCCTTGGGATGAATCTTATGCCAGGCTTGTTGGTGAAAGCACTCGTCGTCTGTGAGTTTGTAAGTAGCACATGGCCGTCCCGCAGTTCACGGGCGGCCCACGGCCTACGGCGGTCCAATCCCCCGATCCGTGGGTATTGGATCCGGAGCCGGTTCTACCTACTCGCGTGCGGCGTGCGAGTGACGAATGGCGTGCAGACAAAGTCGCGGAGTGCGGACTCGCAGCGAGTGCGTTTATGTGTTACACTACAAAGTGAAAGCATGGCAAGCTAACAGGTACGTGTCCTATGTATAAGTACAGGTCCCTGTTCCAAGAAGGGTAAGTCGAGGGGAACGAATGCAACGTCAGCATATGTACCCCTTTTTTGGCGTCTCTTCGTTGCAGCCAAAGGGAGGACACCAGCGGGTGGAGCATACAGATTGCATATTCCTAGGAAGTTGCAAGTGGACGAAACAGAAAAGGGGGTCATGCAGAACCAAACGAATAGAGGAGGAGTCCGTCCATTGTTTCTCTGCATGCAATTCATCAATGGAACACCTTGAACTAGATCCGTCACCATGATACATTCAAACGGTCCCCATAGGCATTTCCCGTTGCCACTTGCCAGGCGTGCTGAGGTGGAGAGTGGAGAGTGGAGTGCCCATCTGGCGGGATTGGACGGTCATGTCGAATGAGACCAAACGGCTAGCCAGGTGTGTACTTGTCAAGGCGGGAGTGACATGCGCATAGCATTGCGTTTTGACAGTTGACAAGCCTTGATACTACATATTCAACTAAAAGATTCAGGTTGGAACATATGCAGCCAGCTTCAGTCCAATCCATTGGACTAAAACACCAAGGTTTCTCCAGTTGCAAGTCAAATATAGTCCGCTGTTGCAATCAGGTAAAAAAAAGGGTTCAAGTCTCGAACACACCAAGCACAATGCAAGGAAGCACGCCTGCGACGACGGTGTTGACCGCTGGGTGGCCTTACTAACAAACCAAAAGTTGCTACTGCGAGTGATACACGCCAAAAGGTACATATTCTTAGATGGTCAGCCCAGGGATCTCAGCAGCGTCAGGACCCTGCCAGCGATGGCGCCTGCTTGCACTAGACTATGGTGGTGGGCAATTAAACTGGCCCTGCCGAGCCAGACCACTTCGGGCTCATGGGGCCATTTTGTTAACGTTGGAGAAGCAGAAACCACATCCACCTTTACCTCCCTTGGTCCCCATCCATCCGTCAGAAAGCACCAATCACGTCCGTCTGTTCCTGGACTTTAATCCCCCATCAAAGTCTCCTCTTCTTTTCCAGTCTGTCTAGTCTCTTCCCCTTTGCACCCTGTCGCCTTTTGCTGGTCTTTTTACCCTTCAGGATTTCCTTTTTTACCTCTTGGATTGATCACTTCCCTCGCTTCCGTCAATCCTCTTCCTCCTCCTCCTCCTTTTTTCCCCGTCCCTTCCCCCTCTTTGGCCCTCCCTGGAACTTAGTCTCTTCAGTTCCGTTCTTAGTTGTGGCTTTCCTTCTTCCAATTGCCCATTGCGCAAGGAGAGACCGCTTCTTCAGTCTTCCACTTTTGGGGCCTACAGCCTTGCAAAACCCAACCGAGGTCTCGATCCACTCCTCATTCAGGTCCTTTTGCAAGCTTTGCTCACTCTTCCTTCGACAAACACTCGTTGCCAAGTACCGTCTTGCTAATTACACCCTTACAACCCTTTCAATTCTTCCCCACGGGACGAAACGAACCCCCCCGACACGACCGCAGACGGACCTTGCTAGCTTTCATCCCGACTGACAAACCAAGTCCCAATCTCCGTTCTCGACTCGATTTCCCCCCGGTTCGCTTCTTCTGCCACGGTGTGAAGATTCACCACCTCGCCTTTAACTCGACATTCGCTTGAAGAGAGAAAGAGAAAAAAAAAAAAAAAAAGAGAGAGAAAGAGGGTCAAATACATATAAACGTCACGTTGGTCGATTACGATAGCGATATTTAATAGCTCTATACAAAATCTTCCTTTGTTCGGCTTCGACACGCTTGGATCGATTCCCTCCACATCGACCAACCCCTTTCGGCCCCCCCTGCCGCGAAGCAATTGTCTTTGCTCCAAAGAGACAAGAACAAAACCAATCCGGCCGCGGTCACCTTCGAGCTCTCCCGGCTGCCTTGGCACTCGACCGTTTCTTTCTCTGAATCCGGCTTGCCTCTTTGCTTCACTTCTGTCGACGTCCAGTTTCCTGGCTTCGACAATACATAACCGCAACACTTCGAATACCTTTTGTTTCGGCAGCGTTGTGGAGCATCATAGTGACAGGTTCTAGACAAATCTGTCCGCCATCTCGAGACACCGTGTATACTTACCCAGCAGTCATACTCTCCTGTCGAGTTTTTGGCCGCACTTTCTTGTACAACGACTGGTACATTCCATCGCGTGTATCTTCTTCTCGGTTGTGCCTTTACCAAGGGGCACGTTTAATCCTTCAAGACGGCGGTTCTATCTCACCTTTCTCGGGACTCCTCTGTCCCGGCGCACTTCCTCGGGATGCAAGACTACTCGGGCCACCAGGGTGGGCACAACGGCCACAACGGCCAGGGCCGCTTCGGCCACGCCTCCAAGCCTTCCAATAGCGACACCGGCTTCTCCCACGGTGCCTTCACTTCCAACATCTCCGGCTTCGCCGAAAGACACCCCCGCCGCGGCAACATTCCTTCGATTAATACGCAGCCCATGCAGCAGCAGAACTCCCACCACAACGTCAATGGCCAAGACCTGACCAGCCCCGGTACCGCCTTCGACATGCAGTTCACTCCTTTGCTGCCCTCTACCCTTCTCGTCGGTAGCCCCTTCCAGCCGGGCACCCCCGCTGGCTTCGCTAGCCCCCAATTCCAGAGCATTCCTGCCTTCCAGCAGCAACAGCAGCAGCAGGGTTACCAGTCGCAAAACGGCGCCGCCAGCCCGGTTCAGCAACACATCTCACCCCAGATGTACCAGCCCATCGTTTCACCCTCTGCTTACGGCGCGCCTCAGTTCTACGCCCCTCAGTCGCCCACGGGTTCTTACAACAACATGGCGCAGATGCAGATGCCTGTCCAGCCGCAGTCTCCGGTCAACATGGGCCCCGGCATGGTGACCGGTACCAGCCGTACCGTTTACCTTGGCAACATCCCCCCCGACACCTCTGCTGAGGAGATTCTTGGACATGTTCGTAGCGGTCAGATCGAGTCCGTGCGGTTGCTCCCGGACAAGAACTGCGCTTTCATTTCTTTCTTGGACGCGAGCTCCGCCACGCATTTCCACTCTGATGCCATCTTGAAAAAGCTCTGCATCAAGGGGCAGGATATCAAGATTGGCTGGGGCAAGCCTTCACAGGTCCCTACCTCGGTCGCTCTCGCTGTTCAGCAGTCTGGAGCCTCTCGCAACGTTTACCTTGGCAACCTGCCTGAGGAGGTCACTGAGGAGGAGCTGCGCGAGGATCTTGGAAAGTTTGGTGCCATTGACACCGTCAAGATTGTGAAGGAGAAGAACATTGCCTTTGTGCACTTCTTGTCCATTGCCAATGCTATCAAGGCCGTTGCCCAGCTTCCCCAGGAGCCAAAGTGGGCGGCTCCGCGTCGTGTGTACTATGGCAAGGACAGATGCGCCTACGTCTCCAAGACCCAGCAGCAGAACGCCGCTCAGTACCTTGGTATCTCGCCGGGTTATGCGCACATGCTCAGTGGTGCGGATCGTGATTTGATTTCTAGCGCCCTGGCTCAGCAGTCCGTCGCTGCCGCCGCCGTCGCCACCACCGCTGGCGGTCTTAACAACCTTGGAAACCGCACCATCTACCTCGGCAACATCCACCCCGAGACTACTATCGAGGAGATTTGCAATGTCGTCCGCGGAGGTCTGTTGCACCACATTCGCTACATCCCCGACAAGCACATTTGTTTCGTTACCTTCATCGACCCTACTGCGGCCGCTTCCTTCTTCGCCTTGAGTAACCTCCAGGGCTTGATGATTCACAACCGCCGGCTAAAGATTGGCTGGGGCAAGCACTCCGGTGCCCTCCCCCCTGCCATCGCTTTGGCCGTCAGTGGTGGCGCTTCTCGTAATGTCTACATCGGCAACCTTGACGAGACGTGGACTGAAGAGCGCTTGAGGCAGGACTTCTCCGAGTATGGCGAGATCGAGCTCGTTAACACGCTTCGTGAGAAGAGTTGTGCGTTTGTGAACTTTACGAACATTGCCAATGCCATCAAAGCGATTGAGGCTGTCCGCAGCAAGGAGGAGTACAGGAAGTTCAAGGTCAACTTTGGCAAGGACCGCTGCGGCAACCCGCCTCGTCAGATGCAGCAGCAGAACAACTCCCGCGACAACCAGGTTCCCTCGCCCCAGGTGAATGGTGCCAGCCAGAACGGAAACTCGCCTACTTCCAACGGTGCCCCGGGTCTCCCTGCCCTGTTCAGTCAGCACAACCCGTTGACCATGTACCTTAACCACGTCAGTCAGCAGGCTCAGCATCACCAGCAGGCCCACCAGCAGTCTCTTGCTCCTTACCAGGCCGCCCTCTTCGGCACCGCTTCGTCCTCACCCAACGAGCAGTCCGGCATGAGCCTCGAGGTCCCTCAGGGTCCTTCCATGTCCGGCCACCAGCAGTCTGCCAGCATCTCCAACGTTAACGGCTTCATGTCCAACGGCTCTGGCGCCCCCACGATGAACGGTCTGCTTGCTCCCGGACGATCTTCACACAACCGGGCTGTGAGCTTGCCCGTCCTTGCCCCTGGCTTCGAGAACGGCGGTACCAGCCCGAACAGCCTTCATGGTAGCAATGAGGGCAACGGCGAAAGGCGTGGGCATCAATACCAGGCCAGCTACGGCGGTATGGGTGCCGGATTCGGCTTGGCCATTCAGGGAAACCTCAACCAGTGGGTTGAGGAGGAGGTCGCTAACTAAGATCTCTGACGTCAATGTCGATGTGATGCAAACTTTTGAAGCTTCTCGAATCGATCAGTAGGGTAATATAAAGGAGGGTGGGGAGTTGTGTTGTTCATTCGCAGCGAGAGACTACATGATTAAGCATTTGGGATCAGCGACAAAGGGACAATACATGCCAACGGATAGGCAGGTAGGGAGGCAGGCAGGCGGTTTTTGTTACACTTGCAACAAATGAATGAGCTAGGATGTGGTTGTGTATACGAATCGTTTGCGAGCCATTTACGAAAGATCTCTGCAAGGGAAGGCAAATGGGGGATGGATGGGTTTCTGAAAGAAAATGAAAGATTGAAATATCCTGTTGTAATTTTTCTCTTCGTTCCATTCAAGTTTTTTGGTCCTTTTTTCTCTTTTTTTTTTTTTTTTTTTTTTATATCTTACTTGTACTTGCTTCGTTGTTTATGTTATGTTTTTTTTTTGTTGGGTTGGGTTTCACAGCCACAGAAGCGGAAGTCTATATGAAGAAGGAATCATCACACACGTTCATCATCATTATCATCACACAAAGCTGGTGTTTTGCTTTGCTTTGCTCTGCGTTATGGAGGCCGCCTTGCTTGGTATACATTCTCTGTCTGTCCCCGTTATGATGCTTTTGACGATCTCGCCATGTTTTGTCTTGTCGTTGTTGTGGTGGTTTATATTGCTATGGACTTGCTTATAGCGGTGGACGTATCTTCTCGAGTTTTTCCCCTTTTCCCTGGCTGTAGGTTCACTCAGCCTTTTGATTTGAAGGGGATAGCGGAGAGTCACCTAGACCTATGTGGACAGTAGTAGTTGGGTAGGCTACGGTGCAAGCGTGGTTGGTTAAGGGTAAAGGTAGTTGTGCTCAGGTTGCTTACTTAGTGTCTACCTAGGTCTGTAGTCTAGGGTGTGGGAAAAGATTAGAGTAGCAGAGCACATAGTGGGAAAACGGGTGGTTAGAGGTAGTTGTAATTATAGTAGAATCTGTTGTAGCTGGGTGTTATACTGTGAGGGTATGGACTGCCTGCCTGCCTGCCTGCCTGCCTGCCTGCCTGACTTACTAGCTGGGTGGGTATATCAGAATTCAACAGGTCGGGACAAGGGGTTTGTACGAGGTCGTTAGAGGTTATGAAATAGTAACTCAAGGGAGAGAGTGTGTGTACCTTATCATGCACTGGCTCGAGGCTGGCAAATATAGACCTAAACCACTCAACAGAAGAATACCACGCTCGAAGTATACGAAAATACGTGCACGCTTAACATCACCTCCATTCTAGACATGGGCATTACTGTAAAAAGGAACCCGCGAAACTCGACGGGCGGCTCGAACGCAGCTAAACACTTGCGCGAGTTTATTTATGTATGTATGTATGTATGTCGATTGCTTTAAATGTACGTCATCGGTACCTAGGCAGACAAAGATCATGATATGTATGACTGGCGGATACCGGTACGCCTTTGTGTTGATGTTCCAGACACACGCGCACACAAAAAGTGCAAAGAGAGAACGGTTGTAAGGATTGAGAACTGAGGATTGGAAAGCAGAAACTGAATCTATGGGTCGCTTATCTTTTTTTTTTTTTTTTTTTTTTTTTTTTTTTTTTTTTTTTTTTTTTTCCCTTCTGCAAAAGGTCCATTATAATTATCATTACTATTCTTTACCGATTGCTCGTTGGTTTTGGTTCTGTTTTCTTCTTCTTAAATCTTCTGGTCGACGACGCTATTTCCCCTCTAACTATCAGGGAAAGTTCTAAGCAGTACCTAACCAACCCGTGGTGAGATCCCCCAAGACTTGTAACTGTTTTGGGTACCTCCTCTAGTTAGGTAGGAGATCTTTTGTAATGTCGAAAAGTCTCTTTCTTCTTCTCTATTTCTATATCCCTCCCTTCCTCCGCTCAAAGGACTCACTCACTCACATTCAAGGATGTCCAGCCCACTCCGGCTCACCACTAGGAGGCGTAGCCGGCTGGCCCAAGTTCATTCGGCACTGCTGCTTCCAATCTTGGGGAGTGAATTTGTCGACTATTGATTTGAAGGCGGACTATTTGTTGTTTATGTCATGTTAGTATTTGTTTTGTATTCCCGCTGTAACACAAATGGTGCAACCGCTTGGCAGGGGGAACAATGGAAATAAGGGGTCCAAGTCGTGGTTACACAAATAGACTCAAAAAAGGTTGGGGGAAATGCAGGAAAAGGATAAGGATAAACTGATGACTTACCAAAGTGCAAAACGAGTCGTCCCCCTCCAAATGGTTCCCAGGCGTCTTGCACCCCGGAATCGTCACCGGCTCGTCGTTGTACCGCATGCGAACGTAGTAGCCGTCCAGCTTGGATTTTTCGGACGAGGTCAGGTACTCGGAGGATTTCCTGCCGATGCCCGGCCCCAGAGGGTTCTTATTCCGACCAGCGCTGCCGGGGAACATGGACTCCCACCAGCCACGCTTGGCGGGGGGTGTTACTGCAGAAATTTGGTCTGCAGGAGAGCTAGTACTATCCGCCTTACGGAATAACTCGATAGCAATGTGGCTAGTAAACGGAGGCCAGCTGCTGCTGTCGTACGCGCCTAGGCTGGAGAGCATTCCCGCCAACGTGGTGTCGTGGCACCCCGACAGACCGAACTTGATGCCAGGGCCTGAGGGGTCCGAGGTGGCTGATTCGGTGTTGACGGGATGTGAAGAATGTGTGTGCTCAGCGCGGCTGACCATCCGCTCAACGATGTCGCCCAACAGCCCACCGATTCCCAACATGCGATACTCGCGCGACTCGTTGAAACCCGCGAACCACTCATCACTGGCAATTCTCTCCAGGAGCTTGCGGGCCTTGTGGTCATAAAAGTCCTCCGGCAGCCGCGTTTCCGGACCATGCGCCAGACTGGCGTTCACGGTGTCCATGATGCCCGACAGACGCGGCCTCGAGTCGACGGCAACGCGCGGGCTGTTAGCCGGCATCCACTTGCCGTAGACTTTGTTCAGGTACTCCATCTCGTCGGAGGTGTTCCACCTGTCTGCCGCGCGCTGGGCGAACGCCCGCGAGAGCGCCGCAAACCGGCGGCAGTTGCCGTCGTTGGGGTAGAGCGTCTCGTCTCCCGGGCCCCGGGTCAGCACGGTGGGTACGGGAAACTTGCCCGTCTCCGGATCGGCTTCGCGCGTGGAGGGCGGGTACAAGGCCTGGAAGGCCTGGTGCATGGACTCGAGCGCGCGGGGCACGTTAGTCGACCGCAGGTAGAAGTCGTCGGTGGAGCTGATGGTTTCGGGCAAAAAGCCGAGCCGGTCGACGTAGAGCTTGCGGAGGCGCATGCCGAGGCGCGAGGTGGACTGGCGGCCTAGGTCCGTCAGGGCGCCAAAGTCGCAAATATCGTCGATTTCGTGGCCGGGCCCCTTGGCTACCACGGGCTCATCCTTGTGGCCAAAGGTCTCGAGACGGCGCTTCCATTCGACCGTGTGGAAGGAGGGCTTTCCGGTTGTTGTTGTTGGCATTGCCAGGTCCTTGGGTCTGTTCTCGCCGTTGTAGTCGAGCATTATCGACCTCAGCTGGCGGACGCTGGCGCAGTAGGGCCAGAAGGGCTTGAGACCGGCGTTCTGGAAGCGGGCGGTTACCGGGGTACGTTCGCCATGGCGCATGAGGATCTGGACCTGTTGGAGTTGGAGACTGGGTGGGTAGAGCTTCTTGAGCTCATCGTCCGTGTAGGGAGGACGGGGAGTGAGAGAGGTCATGGTGAAAGTACCTAGGCTAGGAGGTCGTTCCAAGGTATGGGTCGTATAGGTGTAGCAGAAGGAGGCCGAGACCGGGCATGAGAGGGTGTTTATGGATGGAGGCCTACAAGCAAGAGGTAACAAAGCTAAGGTAGGGAAGACGGGGGTGGATGGTTGTTCTTATAGGATTTAGAGTTACAGTCGATCCGAGTCACGACCCATCATGGTGAGTCGACAAGTTGATGTTGATAGGTGAATAGGTGGCTGGCTGGCCGAGTAGGTGAAGAGGACCAAGACCTGCGTCGTGGCGTGCGCCCACATCCAAACCTAGGTCCCCTCGTTGGGGGTCTGCCTGTCTGTCCGCATCGAGTAATGAATTACACGGGACGAGAGAGGTAAACACTGCCAACTCGGCTGCTGGAAAACAGAGCCAATGACGTACCAACAGTAACTCGCAAGGCAAGGAGACCCCAACCTGAACAACGCGATTGTCCAGAGAAGGAACACGGGTATAACCCCAACCCTTTGAACTGGGATCTCAACGCCGTGGTGGGGGGGTTCCGGCTTTTGTGGGGATTCCTCCACATCGGCGAGGGGAAGGGTCCCGCATCAAGGTCCGCTTCCCCCAGGAATTCCACCGTCCAACCCCATCCACCGCGTCTCCCGTCTCCCGTCTCCGTGCCACGGGGCCACCCCCTCTCCTCCACTTACACTACTTCTCCAGGCATCTTCTGGTCAACGACGTGTCCACCACTCCTTCACCAACCCAGGACATCATCAAGGTGCTCCCACTTCCTTGTTTGCGACAGACCATGAGGGACCTGGGCCACGTCTGTCTGAGATGTCGTGCTCAGCTCCTCGTCGCGACTCAAGCCGCCCGCCGTCCGGTAACTTCCCGCCAGCCACCATCGCAGTCGCCATCATGTCGGTCCACCTACAGCTACACCACTGCAGCCCCCAATAACGTCGCCCAAGCCCATCAAGAGGTTGGGTCCCCGGCGCAGTCACAGCAACAGAGGCAGACGGCGACGCAACATAGAAGAGATGGAGCTTGGAAGGCACCTAGTAGCAAGAGCAGGTTCAACCGCAGCCATGCTTCTGCTCATCCGTCGGACAGCGACGGCGAGGGTTCTCAACTGGTAGCCATGTTCAACGACATAGTCCACGATGTGCCCCGACCAAGCGACATCACCATTTCCGATATTGATCTGCTGGCCTTGGGAGGCCGCATGGACGCCAAGATCAAAGACAACAACTCGTCCTGCGCCGACGCCTTCAAGTTCTTCAAGAAAGAAATCTACCCCTTGATCAAGGCCATCTCGGCAATACCAACTCGCAAAATCCCGAAACCCGTCTTGCGCTCCATACACGACCTGCTGCTGCCTCGCATTTTGATCGAAAAGACGGGAAACGTCCACGCGCCCGAGCTCCCATTGACGGCCCACATCACCGAAATCATGCTCGAACTCGATGCCTTCGATCCTATATACTGGTCGCCTCTCATCATTGAGATGATCGAGTCGGTCTACCGCATCAACCCATCTCCGGACCGTTACACCAAAATCAACGAGTACGAAAGTGCAATGGCCCGCCGTGATCTCGTCCTCTTCGATCTCGCCGCAACGTGGAAACACTTTACCAAGCATCGGTTGCCTCGCACCATCGTAAAGGACCTCCGACCGGCAAGTGGGTCGAAAGCACATGCGAAAGGGCACACTAAAGAGAAATTCTCGGAAGGATTCAGGGGCCTCGAACGTGTGATGCACAACACGCTGGGCAGTCATGGAAGTAGCGAGAATGCGCTTCACATATCGACCTGGGCTGCCTTTGGCTCATATACTTTACTTACCGATCCTGTCAGGTGCTCACGTTTAGCTGCCAAAGAAGCAGGTCCCTTTTTGGAGGTCATGGGCAAGATATTGGCCGTGGTTACGACACTAAAACCTACCGACTTTGATCCCGTTTTGAGACGATACCCCATGTTACACGCATACATCAAGACACAAACACACCTGGGTTCTTTTCTGACAAACACTCCAAACCGCTCTGCTCGGCAGGTACATCCGATACTTCAAATCAAGGGGACCGTTGAACAGGCTATACTCAAGAAAAACTTGGGACTGTTGTATTCAGCTTGGCTTCAGCTTTGGGGCGACGAAGAGGCTCCAGATCCGTCCAAGCTACCGTCCTATCGTGAAAACGCAAGGATATTTGACAAATTTATATATGGCTTCATGGCGTTGCGGCGGCCCCAAATGTCCATCGATGTCTGGAACAAGATGGAAAAGGCTGGCATAAGCCCGACCATTGAGACTTGGACCTCCATGCTTCAAGGCGCTGTCATGTCCCACAATGCTCGTGCGATCAAGACCATCTGGGACAGACTGATAGCCTCCGAAACACAACTGGATTCGATCGTGTGGACGGCGAGGATAAGCGGGCTAATCAATAACGGAGCCGTTGCCGAGGGGCTTAAGGCGCTGGACGAGATGGCCGACAAGTGGAAAAACCAAGTCAAGTACCCCAAGCAAGCCGTCAAGCCAACCATCGAGCCCGTCAACGCCGCCGCCGTCGCCCTCATCCGACTTGAGCGGGACGACCTCGCCGCGGACGTGCTCCGCTGGGCGGCCAAACAGGGCATCCGCCCCAACATTTACACCTTCAACACGCTCCTGCAACGTCTGGTGCGCACCAACAAGGTTGACGAGACCGTCGCCCTCCTTGAGAGCATGAAGCAGGCCAAGATCGAGCCCGACGGCGCCACCTTCACCATCTTGCTCGAAAAGGCGCTCAAAAACCTGCACCGGCAGACGCCCGAGGAGATCACATCGACGGTCAGCGACGTGATGCGCATGATGGAGAGTTCCGGCGTCATGGAGAACATGATGGTCTACGCCAAGGCCATTTACCTCTTACTCCAAGAAGGCGACCGGGCCACGACAGCCGTCAACGCCGTGCTCGCGCACATTTGGTCCCAAGGCCTCGAGCTCACGTCGCACATCTACACCATGCTCGCCGAGCACTATTTCGGGCGCGACCCGCCCGACACCAAGGCCGTGACGGCCCTGATCGACAACCGCCGCCTGCATCTGAACGAAAACATTGACCACATCTTTTGGGAGCGCGTCATCAAGGGCTACAGCCGGGCCAACGACGCCGTCAAGGCCGAGGAGATCTTTTGGAAGGTGTTCAATGCCGGCATGACCGAGCTAACCATGGACGCCATGTTTGAGTTGCTGGCGGCCATGATGCGCCACCAGGGCATGCTGGAGAGCGCGGCCAAACTGGTGGCGGCGCTGAACCCCATCAAGGTCGCCGTCACGCCCGATCAGGTGCTGGCGAGCAGGGACGTGGAGGAGCCGGCGGAGCGGGAGGCGAGGCATGCGCGGATGAAGAATGAACGGTTCTGGAAGCACCGGTTCTGGCATTTGGCGTACAAGGGCGGGTTGATGTCGGATGATTTGCTGGAGGCGTTTGAGAAGGCGCATGAGGATCCGAGGGAGTGGGGGGTGGAAGGAGATGAGTGAGTGAGTGGGCAATGGTGTGTGTGTAATGTTTACTGTGTATGATGTGTGTGTATACATATTGTATAACAAACTGAAACTGCATATATCTTTGTTTTGGCTATACATAATGATCGTTTCGGACAGGCGGTTATTACCTAGACTAGGTCTTCGCGGAGACTGGGACTGGCATGCATCATAGGCTCCGTCAGGAGTTATCATTCATCGGCATCATCACAAAACCCTGTTCACCAACTATTGGATGAATATATTCTCCCGTTCAACTCCAGTGCCCCCCCTCCTCCATATGGGAAGAAACCCCCTAGAGTAAACGCCTACAGCCACAAAGAAACTTTAATCGACATTGTCAACTTTTAGGCCTCCTAGGAGATGATGATGATATACCCAGATACAGGAACTCGAAAGTCGAACCTTTATATTCGCACAAGATGCTGCTGAACACTGGACGATAAAGTTTATGAGATGTACTCATCGCGAATCGAAGCACCATAGGTAACCAAGCAACGTCCCTCCTCCTCCTCCTCCTCCTCCTCATCCCCCAGTCTTCGTTTCGGCATGTGACGCTATCATCCATGTGCCCGAACCGAGTGAGAACCTGAACCTTTGTGTCTATCCTATCCTATCCTGTGCTACCCTATTCCGTGTCGGCGCTATGATCCAAGTCTGCCTGTCCATCCCATCCTTGCCCTAATCAGACTCTCCGGCCTTCTCCAAGGTTACGAATAGTTATCTACGCACGCGCCCAGTCCACTCTATCCAACGAACTCAAATCTTATATTATACAGTCTGTCAACCTATAACGTGGATATCCCTTGTCGTCAATAACCCTCCTCCTCAAAAGGCAGGTCTCGTAGCAAGCGGCACGGGTGGTGGTGGCGGGGCATTTTGTTCCCCTTGTCCCGGCGAAGCAGATACAGATGGCGGCGCCGTCAAAGCAGGTTTCTTCTTGGGCGGCGGAGGCGGAGGTGGTTTCTTCTTGGCTGCTGCAGCCGTTGCCGCTGCTGCGGATGGACTTCCCGGCGTGGCAGATCCAACCGAGTCACTGTATCCATGCCCATGCCTATGATCATATGAAACAGCACTCTCGGCTCTTGTTCTGGTCCCAACTGGCGGCGGCGGCGGCTGTGACGTACCGGCATTACCCCCATAACTACCTCCTGTTGAACCACCACCACCACCACCACTACCACCAAACCGATCCTTCAGACTCCCCACTGCCCCGGCTGCCTTCCCCCCAAGACTCTGGGCCGTCTTCATCCCTGCCGCTATCTGGTCCCCGTGTCTTTGGCGGAAGTTGTTTATCGTCCCTCCGGCGGATTTGGCATCGGAATAGGAAACAGAACGAGGATCCTTGTGGAAGGCTGAAGCGGTTTTGAGCGCGTGTTGCTTTTGAGCCCAGGTTGTTCCTCCTCCTTCAGGAGCAGTGGTGGTACCTTCTTGATGGCCTGTTGAGGTAGGGGATACGCGAGAGGCGGGTGGTGGAGGGGGGAGGATGGGCCGATTCGAAGGGGGTGTGGGGGTTGTGGAGGTTGAGGTTGGGGTGGAGGTGGTGGTGGTGGAAGAGCCGGGAGGGAGGGAGTGGTAGGGTTGGGAGTAGGGTTGGGAAGTTGCTCCTGGGGTGGTGGAGGAAGAGGCGCCCGTGGTAAGTTTGGAGAAGCGGTTTTGGAGATTGGACAGTTGGGATTTGGCTTGGTCTGTGAAACTACCGCTGCCCGCGGTACCAGAGGTAGAGCCGGTCGTGGTTGATCGAGCGGGACGGTTGATGGGGGTGTAAGAGGGTGGCGGCAGTAGAGGCGTTTGGTTCGAAGTAGTTGCTGCGGCACTCTTTTCGCTGCCTATGCCAAACCCGGGAACGTTGACGCCCGCTGCGCCGAGGCGGTTTACAGCGCCTTGATTGAGGTAACCATCACCTGCCTGTGGTGAGGCCGGAGAAGCTGTGGATGAGCGAGGAGGTAGTCTGGGTGGCAGGCTCGGTGGTCCTCCGGTAGAAGGTAGGCCACCTGCACTGATGGTTGAAGGGCGAGGTGGTGGTGGAGGTCGGCCATCGGCTCCGTCTCTGCGGACCGGAGGGGGCGGTAAGTGTGCTGTCGATAGACCGGTGGTGTCTACTCGGTATGTTCTCGGGGGTGGCGGCGGCCCATCTTCCTCAACTCCTTCATGTTGTTGTTGGTGGTGTCCATATTGCTGTTGCTGTCCGTATTGCTGTGACTCGGCCGGATTCGTGGAGGTAGGCCGGGAGGGCGGGGGCGGCGGTGTGAGGTCGCCGATCCTGCGCTTGGGCGGAGGAGGGAAAGAGGCTGGGTCGCGTAGAGAGGAAATTGGGGTTGATTGATGGTCCGCATAACGTTCTCTCTGGATGGGCATGTGTTAGTATTTTCATGTCGGGGAGACAGATACGACTGCGGGAAGTGATGTAGCCTACAGGATCCTCTCCGCGTCCAAGCAAGCCTTTCTGCATCCGAAACGTGCGTCAGTATCATGTCAGTGGTATTTGGACTCCATTGGGCTTCATACGCACCACTTGGCCTTTTAAAGTCGTTCCCTCTTTCTCCGGATGCCATCCTTTCTTGAAGATTTCCTTGCCCTTCTCCTTGTAGCCCGCTAGTTCCGGCATGTCGGGCAGTGTGATGGATGGGCTGTGTAAATATGGTCGATAACGAAGTTAAAATAGTTAGGATCGTAAGAGAAGGGAAAAGGAAGTGGAAGCCTTCTAGAAAAGGATTCGGCAATCAAGTAGCGTGATGATCACCCGGCGGATGGATGCTTCGATAGGGGGACTTCTTCCACGCTTCAGTGTTGTTATCGCAACGGAGTCGGTGTTCGTTCCTTATCTTCCAGCGGACACTTGCACAAGGGATGTGACGTAGATCCCGGGGATCGTCAGCGGCTGACAGGGTCCCCACATCAGCTGTGCCGCCTTGCTCTTCAGGCACCCGACTGCCGAACGTTCGCGGTGTCAATCGTTCAATTCCACTTTCGCAATCGCCATTGCAACCAGGGCATCGCGTCTTTGAGGCGCGCCGAGGGACAACCTCAACGTACAAGTAAACAAAACGAGACACAAATGGCCACAACAACAGATACCGAGCTCCTAACAGAGCACTTTGGCTATCCCCCAGTCGTACGTCCCGATCCAATTCTCTCTCATTCAACTCCCAAATCTTTGCCCAACTAACCCCGCGGCGCATCGCGCATTCAACAGAGCTTACTTGACGACATAATCAACAGCATCAACATCCTCGCCGAGCGCGCCCTCAACAGCGTCGAACAAGGCCTCCTCAATGCGCCCCCCGCCTCTCTCGGTTTTCGCCCACCTACCCATGCTTCCACCACCAAACCGGGCAAGAAGCCCAAAAAGGGCGAAGAGGGTCTTCCCAACGCCGAGGAAGCCCATCGACACGAGATCGAAAACGGCACACACCAGCTCGAAACCTTACTCTGCGCCAGCATCGACCGTAACTTTGACAAGTTCGAAATCTACGTTATGCGCAATATCTTGTGCGTGAGGCCGGAAGACCGCGATTGGATACGGTTGGGGCATTACGAGGGGTTGGATTTCTCCTCCCCCCAGAAAGAAGAAGACGAACGACCAACACTCGAAACCGTCACCCGCCTCCGTAGACGTTTGCAAGCATCGCAGAAGCTCAACGTCATGCTTCACGCCGAAAAGGCTCGCAATGCCGCGTTGCTGTCTGAAGTCCGTCGTCTCATCGGCTCTCCCAAACAAGTCAAATCCGAGCGTTCCCAACCACCATCAGCACAAACTCAAAACGGCAACGACAACAACACCGACACAGAAATGACCGACGCCCCTCTTCTTTCCTCTACCACAATCCCAACAACAGACAGCACAAGCACAAGCAAACCCCCCTTTGGCTTCCTGACTCAAACCTCCCTCCTCTCCACCTCGGACGCCTCCACCCCCCTTACCACCACCACGGCATTCACTCTCTCCCAACTCGACGCTCTCCGCTCGCTCTCCACCTCTCTCCGCTCGCTCCTCCCTGCTCTTTCCCAACCAGTGGCAGCAACAACACCAGAACCAGCATCAACACCCGAACCAGAAAACGACAAGATAAAGAAACCCTGGCGTCTGCAGAGACTAGAGTACATCGAGACTGCCACGCGGAAACATCTCGAGCAAGTTCGGGGTCTGGAGCTGGGAGTCAACGGGGAGCTGAGGGATGGAGGGCTCCGGGGGAGGAACAGTCGACTACAGGGGATTTGATGGTGGTGGTGGAGAATGGTGGTGATGGTGATGGTGATGGTGATGGGGCGAGGAGGACAACAAAGAGGAGGAGGGTGGAGAGGGAGGAGGTGGAATCGTTGGAAGGGGTTTTGGGGAGTTTGGGAGGAGGGGGGCATGATGGTAGTAGTAATGAGGCGGGCGGGGAGGGAGGAGAAGGGGGACAGGAACAGGAGCAGGAGCAGGAGCAGGAGCAGAATGAGGAGAGGCAAGAAGAGGGACAAACGCAAGCACAGTCAGAGGGGAGTCAGAGAGAGGGAGAAGAAGGGGAAATCGAAACGGAAACACCGAGCCAAGGAGGGGGGAGCGTAGAGAAAGCGAAAGATCAGGGAGATGGTGACGAGGGGCGGATGGATGAGCCCTAGGCGCATTGCATACCAATCTGTGGTTTTTATATTATTGTGAAAGCAGGCGTTTTGGGGGTTTACGTCGTTTTCAAATAGGGGGCTTTGGCTTCGGAAGGATATATCATGGTCGTGGTCTATAAAAAGCTATGTGATGATGGAATGAAATGTTTGTACTACCACTGTTTCTTACTCGATACGGTCTCACTTAACCCAATCCTGTTTACTGGATCGTTGCTGAGAAAGCCTGCGGCCGACATCAACTCACCCGTATATTGATCAAAGCCAAATATTTTCGGGGCTGTAGATAGTTGAGTGACATTGCATTGAGTGAGAAAAAGCGGTAATGATTTCTGTTTTCCGTTTATTGCCACTCTTAGATATCATAGGTACCGGCAGGCAGACATGGATACCTTAATACTGTACCACCGATGCGGATAGGATAGGATAGGATAGGATAGGAAAGAATGGACACCAAGGTTCTCAGTCACATGCATGATAGCGTCATATAGGGACAAGGAAACTGGCTGAGGACGGGCGTCCTATCATGTTGTATCATCTCAATGGCACGTCCATTTACTAACGTAGGCCGAGTTCGAGAATCATAAGGAGCGTAATTGTCTTGTGAGAGCTGACCAGTTTTACCAACAGCCAATAGCGCGTTTATCCATCAGAGCTAGGAAGCTGTCACAGTGATGCGGAAAGCGCGTTTATTAGATACTTTCAAAGGTCGTCGATTCATGTTTTGGTTTTATGGCTCCATATCATCGTAAACTCAAGAAGAAGAGAAATTTGGGGGATATCGTTTCAGAAATTCGTTGTATTTTGTTTCCCGAAAACCACAGGCCCGATCCAAATTGCGCCGCTAAGACAAAAACGCGTAATTTAGACCTTGGTCTCCTTGAGGCCGTGCTTCCAGACAACGACGTAAGGGGTGGTGCCGTCCTCGCGGTAGTTGAGGAGGACAACCATGCCGTCGGGGTTCATGGACTCGCCGGTGTAGAACTCCCAGTCCTTGAACTTGGCGAGGATGACGTTCTTGGCGAAGGCACTGGCCTTGGTCTCGAAGTCCTTGATCTCCTCGTCAGACTTGCCCTGCTCCTTGAGGGCGTTCTTGACGGACTTCATGTAGCCTGTTGGTCATGTGTGTTAGTATATGCCATGTATGGACATGACAAACGAGGATAACGTACCCTTGAGGTAGACGAGGTAGCCCTTCTTGTCGAACTGGGTGCTCTGGAGACGGAAGGAGTGGACAACGTTGTTGACCTTGACGGAAGTGTCCTCAAGGCCCTCGTCGGCCTCCTCGGCGGAGGCGTTGGCACCAATGTCAACCTGGACGGCGCCCTCCTCAATCATGGCGCAGTCGACCTCATAGGCGATGCCATCGACCTCCTTGAGGTCGTAGGAGTCCGAGATGATCTCGTCGCCGGTGATGATATCCTGTATGGTGCAAAAGAAGAAGCGGGGTTAGCAGCTGATGCTGAGGCTGATGCGGATGCGGATGCGTTGTCCTCGTCGCTTTGGATGCGACATTGGATGCGACGGCATTGGGGCTTCAATTGTCATTGTCTCCGTGTAGAGATGGCACTCACAGAGTAAATAAGCATTTTGGCTGATTTGTGGACTGCGTTGCAGAAAGAGGATGAGGGTATCGAGGTTGGTGGTTGATGGACTTGGGGAAAACAAGGGCACGAAGACAAAATCGAAAGGAAGAGACCTTCAGACGTTGGGACGCGGGTGGGTTAAATCCTGGGCGGGTGAAAAAAATGGAGGATGGGAAGGGTGGGAGGGGCGCGGAGGGGCAAGTTCTGCTCGCGCTAAACCCAAGCGGGAATGGAACCTCCAGCCCAATGCTCGAGACCTTCACCACATGCGGGCGGGGCGTACGCTGTTGGCTACAATTTATTCGCGACGCCCGCACCTCATTGGGTACTTATGAAGACAACGGGATGTGCGAACTGCGAAGATCAAAAAGTCCAGAACTTGAAACCGTCTTGAGCCTCGACCGCCGCAATGCGAGTCGTAACCGTTCGTCTTGAGTGCAATTCTCGACAAACCGACTTTGCCGAATCATTCCCTGTCCCAAGTCGGAGTTGAAAAGAGCAAACACAATCTTCTTGGGTAATGCACCTGTCGGCTACAGTATTCCCACAACTTCCTTTTTCGTACAGCCTGTGAGCAATGGTGATCTCGTCGCAGTACTGCAATTCCAAAGCGCACATGCTTTGCACTTGCTAAATGTGCCTTCGTCATCCTATGTCTATCCACTCTTCACGCCCCGGGCCTTACGAATTGATATCTCTTTGTTGTGCTTCGCACTCGAGTATCGGTTTGCATGATTCCATCACATAGTTGGAGTCGGGGAGTTGGGCACCCTTGAACTGGCGTTGGTTGATTGTCCCTACATAGTAAAACTCGATATGTTGCAACTCAATACCTATGGTCTCATACACCGGTTCTTCCAATGCCCGGTTATTAGTATGAAATCTTAGTACTACAAGTTCAATGCTCGATAGCGCTGTGTCAAAGTCTGCTGGTGCAAATGCCATTACATCGAGCCGAGACCATCAAGGTTCTTCTGAACCACGGCTGGCAACTGCCCGAGTACGGTACCTTACCCACGTGAATGATTGGTCAGAGGTCAGGATGAAATCATAACCTTGGCGTTGTCATGGTAAACTCCTCAGCCAAAATTTCTAACGCAATTTGACATCTTGCGCGAGATAAACGGCCTATGTACTTCACCATCATTTCACTCTGGATGAATCATCACGTGTCATCAAGCTGACGCTGACGGCCATGACCGGCCTCGCCGAAGAGGTTGGAGACCCGCGGATGCCGAAGTGGAGACCAAGTCCAGCTGACTGCCGGTCATGAACACGGCTCGGGAACGGCGTTGAGACCGTATGGCGCGGCGGTCTGTGGCCCTTGTGTGACTGCAGATCCCGGGACATTGACCGGAACCCGGAAGGAACGTCAAAAAAACGAACAACAGGCGAAACCCCGGTGGACTCACGCGTTGGTGGAGTGGTTGTCGAAATTTGAAAGCTGGAAAACCCTCGGATCCTTGCCAAGTACCGATGCCGATTGTCCAATCACACAGCTTGGAACCTACTGTACCAGACGGTGGTGGATCACACTCCCGACGAGGTGTGTGATCGGGGTCCAGGGACCTTTACCGGAAAGCGACTCGATGCTTTGAGCTTTTGGCATTCGAGGGGTTCTCTTCAACGAGGTACAAAGAAAAGGCAAGGCGAGGCTCTAGTGCACGTCGGGACGGAGGCGGGCAGTGTCGCGTGTCGATACCTCTACGTATTATGGTAACAGGCTCGTCCAGCCTTATCACCGTACCCAACTGGACGTGATGGTGCATAAACTGGATGCGATACCCCTGCCAAGACTTTACATAAGCTGTCACATTCATCACATCCAAGGTGGGCAGATATCCGGGGAAAAGAGGAAACCGCAGAGTAGTAGTATACACTAGGCAACAAGACAACCCAGGCTCACGGGTCGACGAGACCTTGTACAGGTGACTGGTATGTAGAGGTACTGTAGAGAGCATGGCAGAGTGTCGGTGGTGGCACGATAAAACAGCAGACGCGGAAGAGCGGACCAAAGCGAAATTGATGGGCAAGAACATTGCAGCTCTTTCCACTAGGAGCATGATGGGCGGTCCTGCATCCGGCATCCCGCACGGCTTTTTGATCTTTTGCAGCACAAAAATATGCCAGGGCAAGCAGGGGGAATTCGCTGTTTTCCTCCGGATCGGGGGCGGCAAACCGAGCGAAACGGCGAACGCCACTCGATACCTACTAGGCGTACAGGGAGGGCATGGGACCGCGAGGGGACTGTACCGTGACAAGAACCACTAAAACCCGCCAATTCTCCACTGAGCTCAATTCTTACTAGTAGTCCGATCTCAGCGCTCACTCAGCCCACTGTGCAGTATCAGTCAGCGGCTTCACTTTACTTATCCTACAATTGCAATCTTCATCCCATCCTCCGTCCCGTCTTTCCCGGAAAAAAAAACACACACACAACGTCCAGACACTCCTTCATTGCCCATCTGTATCAGTTCGTCCTTTGTGTCTTTTCTGGAATTTGTCTATACTATAATCGCCTTTCCACCATCATCCCCACTTGGAACCTGGGCGTCCAGTGATCGCTGCCCACACCTTATCGCCAACTCAATACGATAATTCCTCAGCCCGTCCATGGTCTTCACCGACACAGCGACCGGTCCAACCATGATGGCCATGATGGCTAACACAACAATCACCGCGGCCCTACCGCCCTTGCCTGCCTACGAAACCCGGCCGCTTCCAGACCTGCTGCCATGGATTTCCGACTTTTGGCTGTCGCTTATTCTGCCGCACATCGCCTACTGGGTCGTATCCATGTTCTTCCACATTATCGATGTCTATGACCTTTTCCCTCAGTATCGCCTACACACCCCCGAAGAAATCAGCCAACGTAATCTTGCGTCCCGCTACGAGGTTGCCCGCGATGTCCTCCTCGAACAAGCGATTCAGATTGGCACCTCGGCTGTGCTGAATCTCCTCGACGACCAGCAACTCACCGGACATGAGAGCTACGAAGTTGCTGTCTGGGCGACGCGCATCCGCCTGGCCCAGCGTGGCCTCCCCACCATTCTCGGTCTCGTTGGACTGAATGCCAGCGCCCTTTCCAAGAACATTGCTGGCTCATACCCGCTGCTTGCTGGCGCGCTCGCTGGCGGTTTCTACCCATCCCTCTTCGAGCTCGATGACATGGCCGGCACGGCCGTTCCCGCGTTCGCGTCCTGGGAGATTCTCTTGGCCAAGGCCATCTACTGGATCATCATTCCCTGCATCAAGTTCTGGTTTGCCGCTTTCGTCCTCGATAGCTGGCAATACCTTTGGCACCGCGCCATGCACATGAACAAGTGGATGTACAGTAAGTCTTCCAAAACACACCGCCTCAAAATCCCACGCAGCTGGATCACCCCCACTAACACCTGCTTTCCCTCCAACAGCCAAGTGGCATGCTCGTCACCACCGTCTCTACGTTCCCTATGCCTACGGCGCCCTCTACAACCACCCCGTCGAGGGTTTCGTGCTCGACACTCTCGGTGCCGCCATCGCCTACAAGTGCTCCTTCATGACCTCGCGCGAGGGCATGTTCTTCTTTGTCGGCAGCATGATGAAGACGGTCGACGACCACTGCGGATACGCGCTGCCCTGGGACCCCCTGCAGAACATCACCAGCAACAACGCCGCTTACCACGACATCCACCACCAGAGCTGGGGCATCAAGACCAACTTCTCCCAGCCCTTCTTCACCACCTGGGATAGAATCCTCGGTACTATGTGGAAGGGTGACACCTCGATCAAGTACGAGCGCACGAGGGCCGCGGCGGCCAACAAGAAGAAGGGCGCCAAGGGTGAAGAGACCAAGGCCGAGTAAAATAATTGGATACAACCCAGAGTGGGGCGGGGCCCTGCTACTGAGGATTGTGGTGAGGAGTTGTGTGATATTTTATACAGACTATTTTTGTCGACGGTGGTAATTTTTATTTCCGTGGAAAGATTCATTATTCTTTTCGCGAAACGTGGTTTGGGGGGAACACCATCTTTACTGATGTAAACCTCCCCTCGACCTCTTCCATCAGAGAAGGGGACGACACCATGATGGTTTTGGATGATGGGAAGCAGATGAAGAAGAAGCAGAAGAACGAAGCCAACAAAAGAAAAAAGCAACATACCTAACTATATAGGGCATTGGGAAAGGCGTTATACCACACATACTTTCTTTTTATAGTCATCCCTTTTTCCTCTTCTTCGTTTAACGCCCGACTTATGGCTTCAGGATTATATGCAACCGTTGATGATGAGGGAGAAGGGCAAAGGGCAAAAAGGGAAGGAAAGGAAGGGGACAGGATGAACTTGGATTGACTGTTCATAATGCAGGGAATGGAGGCTTGTTGCAAATGATGTATGGGTTCCATATCACAAAGTTTTTGAGGAGGTTGTTTGTCGATTGTACAAAGTGTTGGAAGAAGACAGGCAGGGATGGGAAAGGATGGAACGGAAGAAGAGAAGAAGTGTTGTCGACTTCGCTCACTCGCTCTTGGATGAGAAAAGCTTGGGGGATGGCACTCAACTTGTTCAGATTACGCCAGTTATCTGAGTTATCTGGGGAGGACCGCTGCTTACCTAGCCGACTCATGTAATGATAATATGAAATCAAAGCCTTGATCACACAATTCTACTGCTTTTTACTTGCCTGGTACCGTGACGAGTATCACTTTATTATCGTGCTACCTCAGAAACCCAACCTAGCAAGGTACCGCCCGCCTCGTTTCCCGCCCGGCTTGTGGCTGTCTGTCTGTCTGGCTTGACTACTTATCCAATCTCCCACCTTCATACCACCCCCAAACCCAAACGCCATAGCGCCGTGAACCGAAACCCGTCATGTGTGGCTTACCTCCACCAGGCCGAACTCGTCCGAACCCGAACCGCCGGTCCATCCTCAACAAACACAAGTACGTACATTGTAGAGTGCCACTCCATCAGTACAGTGTCCTCCCACTTTCCGTCCGTCCGTCCGTCCGTCCGTTACCCGGTTCGGGCGTAATGGTGGACGGAGTCAAAAGTCAAGCCACCAGCCATTCACTCACTCCAGGGCACCCACCGCGGAGATAAATGACCGCAGTTGATCCTAGTTTTTGATGAGAATGGATCACCCGGTACCAGCGTGTCGGGAACGTGATGGCGTGGAGATTGTGGACTGGTTGAGTGAGGTCTGGACTTAAGCCTCAAGGACTCTCTTTTCTTCAGCTTTCGGGTCCAGGTAAAAGGTATAGTAGTTCCAGTCTGCTGGGTCGGGTCGAGTTGATCAGGGTCTTGAGAAGTGAACTGAACTCAGGCAAAGGATCCGTCCGATTGACCGGCCGTACTCTCCGTGAACTAGAGATAAGCAAAATAATGCAAAGCAAAAGAAGCATCCCAGTGTTGGCTCAGTGTACTATGCAGTAGGTAGGTAAGTGGAAATAATCAAGTATTGATGGAAATTTGAGGGAGGGAATCTTTCAAGTTGGAGATGACAAGTGATCACGAAAGCTTGAACTCCATAATGTTCTGCATTTAGTCGTAATCTGGTTACTTGACTTGGTAGCACTCTTCTCGGAAGTACTTAGCGTAGAGAAGACAACTGAAGATATACCAACTTCCCATTTCGGATTTTCCATTGCCGATTTAGTCAAATGAAAAGAAGGAAAGGCGGACGAGGGCTTAGACTTGGGGCTAGATTCAGCCCACTGGCGCTGGCACTGCGATTGGGAGTAGTACTTGGTGGTGGAAACAACATGGCTTTCCTCTATCCACTTTCTCGGGTCTCACGTCATTCCAACTATGTAATTACTTGAAAGAAACGACATTGTCTGGAGGACACTCAGACGGGGAAATTGAAAATGGGATGGCTGTTAGTATAGTAGGTCCCGGTGGCGTGAGGGGGTGGCTGGCCATTAGATTGAGACGGACTGATTAGTACTACCTATGTGACTCGGGCTGATAGGGGGGGTTCGTTGTCTGATATCGGAGATGGCAGTGAGTAGGTACCTAAGTAGGTAGATGTTGAGAAATCTATTGAGGAAGGAGCGCACCCTATTTGTATCATACCTTCCTTAAAACATGAGTGAGGAAGAGAAAGGGAAAGAAGGAACTGAATGTAGCCTCAGTCCATGGGTCTACGCAGTATGTCGTTGCGTTCATCTAGCTGACGGATCAAACACTTTGTTTTTCTGGTGTGTCCCAACCAACTGAAGTGTCTTCCATCGACGACCATTGAATGGAGGTAACCTTAAACGATGTTCAACCAATTTTTCTCGCCATGTCTACCTTACGAAAGGTTATACTGCTATTCCCTTGCTCGACAACCATTATGACGAAACTCCAGCACAATTAGAGTTAGGTTGCTCTAGCCACCCACGATTCTCTCATCCTGAAACAATTTCGCAAGCATTAGGTACTAGTAATACTGCTTTATCTCTTCTTGCTGCACTCTTTTCAGTTATCTATTGCTTTCACTCACAACACCCACGTCCCAGCCGCTCGCTCTTCCCACGGTTTTGATGTCGAGATTAATAATCCCAGCTGTGTCGACTGCAGGTGGCGTCCCCCTTCCTTCATCTTTGTACTTGATCACCCCATATGTACCCGTCTACGCCACTTGAAGAAAGGGCTTTGCTTGCTTACTCACGGACCCGTGTCTTGGGTCGGAAATATGCTAGGTGCTCTCGGAGAAGATCGATGTGTGTGCATTAGACTAGTGGTGTCTACTTGTACAGATGGATATTCATCTTTATCAGATTGCTCGTCTTGTTAAAATGAACTGCGACAAGGCACAGGAGATAAAAGATATAGGAAACACGGTAAACACAACACGGAGTAAAGTCGAGTATGATATTGACACTAGATTGGAGTTTATAGGCCGATTATTACTAGTAGAAACTCGGGCTGTATAGGGCATGGCATGGTGAGGCAACAAACCAAAGGCAACCCCCCAAGGAGAAAAAAGAATAGAGAGAAAACGAGGCCCAGCCCAGTCCAACCATCTATCCATCTGCTGTGCCCGCCTGTGGTGAGACCGTGAGACCAAAAGGAGCAAGGCGTTCGGGTCTCGTGTGTGTGTGTCTCGTGTGGCTCGTGTAACCATTTTACGAAAATGTCGACATGTATGATGAAGGCGCCGCCGCATGGTTCCTGTCGTCCTCCATTCGGGATCCCCTGGGCACCCGAAAGAGCGGTCGGTGGGTTTTTTGGCTGGGATAGCATGTCCGGTGATTGATGTGCCGTACACGACGATCAAGGTTCACAGAGGTTGTTTATAGGTGTACACGCAGAAGTCGTAACTTGGCGTAGGTATTAACGAGATGTGTATCATGTGCCTCTTGTGCCTTTCTTATCTGGTACTGCTGCCGGATTCCCGTTCATGCAAGGTAGGTACCTACCTAGGAGGACAAGATGAATGGAAAAAAAGCTTCGAGAAGATTGAGCAGGATTGAGGGTTGCAGATCTGGTGCCGTTTCAAATAGCTAGAGTTTCAACCAAGTCCTATACATTCCCACACTATAGTACATAACATAATACTGCTGACTGGAACCCGTTTCAATTCAAGACAGCTGGACCGACTTTAGAACTTTATGGTACTGTATGGATACTATCAAACCTACGATCGCCCTTTTTCGGTAATTTTGATTTTGTCTGATAGTCACCCACCTTTTGTTGCTTCTTTGAAGCGGCAGTTGGAAGCAGTAGGTACGTATATGGAGTGAAGTAACAGGTAAGCACCATCCTTGGCGACCCCTGAGCACCACCACTGAGCACCGAGTACGTGACTGGTGGTGGCCAGGATGTCAAGATGCAAGGGAGAACAACAAGAACTTGGAGGTATTCTACACTGATGAATCGTGACGATGATTGATGCATGGAAGCCTTATGTTAAGTAAGTGCAATAGTACCAGAAGGACGGCACGACGGTTCGGTTAATGGTTTACTCTAACATGGGCACATGGGGGCACATGGGGGCACATGAATGGTGGTTTCCAAGACTTGTGGCTTGCATGCTGTTTTCCTATCATTGTCATTGTCACCATTGTTATCCCGAAGAAGCACACTGGGCCAGACGCTTTGGGTCGACGAAGTGATGCAGCGGCGCTGTGGGCAGCCGAGTCGGGGACGCGCCAATTCCCGCTGAGGCGTCTTGGTCGCTTTCTGTGACCGACGTCGACGCACAGGTGTGTTTTAGGATAGGTTGAAATTATCAATGATTCGTTACCGTTCGGAAGAGAACTTGATGGTAGAAGATCCTTCTCGGCACCGAGCCGGCTTCAATTTCAGATACCCATCAAAGCAGATTGTGGTGCGATAGAAAAGGAGTGTCTGGGGAGTCAATCAATGGAATGGAAGAGGAATGGAAGAAAGGAAAAGAGGAAATGATGATGGACGTCCCGCCCCGGCCTTTGACCAACACCCCACTTGCCCACATTGAACTTAAAAAGGTGGAGCCCGTTCGAGGTTGAAGCAGGATCCACTCCGTCATGTTTTGGGTGATTGGCCTCTTGGCTTTTGTCTCTACACTAGGTGGTGTCTCTCGGCTGTTTCCTTTTCATCTTTTTCGTCGCAACGTCCTCCAGATCGCCATTCAGTTGGGATGGAAGACGGGATCAGGCGAAATGAGACGGCGTCGATGATTTCTCACAGCTGGCCATCAAACACAACATATCATGACAACAATTTTTGATGACGACCCGGTCGGTCTTCTCCAATGAAAAGGGACACATGCGACTATTCCCGCAAAGGGGACCACCAACCAACCATGGACGTGGAAAGCGTGCAATTGGAAACCCAGGGGGAGATTCGATCGACGGATTCGGTGGAGACTCGCTGCGAACAGGCAGCCGAATTTCTGCTGATTTTCTGGAGAGAAGGAAAATCTTTGATTCTTGGTTGTCTGTCAGTCAGCCTGACAATGCCTGCATGTCTTCTCCCATTGGTGCCATTTGCCTGCTTGCATCAGGCTGAGACGGCTCCACCGAACAATGGAAATTGTCAATGGACCATCCAAGGACAGGACCATCTCCGTGGCTTTGGCTGAGCTGACATCTTTCTGAAGGAAAGGAAAGGAAAGATCCAATGAGTGTTCGTACCTGCCGCACTCTACGGTTGTTGAGCCTCCGTCTATCAGGGAAGCCGGCCTTTCCGTCCAAGGCTGCACCATTACACAATGCTCAACCGGGCAGTCACCCGTCCTTATCTGCAGAACGTATCCGGTATCGCTGCGTCACCACTCAGGTCCAGATATCAAGTTGTTGTGCACTGCTGACAGTCCCCAAATCCGGGGGCCATTTTTGACATGTTCAATGATTTTCATCGACGACTTGTCCAAGCATCAACAACACAACACAACCCTACCATATCCATCAAGGCAATCTATCTCGCACATGGTTCAATCCACATGGTCGACAGGATCTGCTAGCACACTCACTGTAGCATGAGCTGAGCCCTGCCGAAATTAGCCGTGCATGAAGCCTGCGACTCCAAGAACCACCATACCGTGACCCCTGGGCCATTCCGAAGCCATTCTAACCCTCCTTGGCGACTCCATTGTCCCCCATTTCGATAGTCTTGGCCTCCAGATCGACCCCCCTACGGCAGTGTTCTGCATGCCGTGAAGCCGTGCAACTGCAAGCGTCGTGTTGGAACCGCAGGCCAAAGCGTCTTCCATCTTCACCCCCCCCAGCTTTCCACCTCGCTCTCGGTCCCCAGCCCAGCTGCACACCCCAAGCCTATCTGGGAAAACCCGCACTCTTCTCCTCACCGGCTGACGAAGGAGATTCGCCGAAAAGCGAGCTGTCCCGGTATTTGAAATAGGGCAAGGGCCCTGCCATCTTTTTTTTTTTTCTCCTCTTGAGATCTGGGAACAGAACCCTGATTTTCTCTTGATCTTGATGGATTTGGTCGCCGACATTGTGGATAGTATTGACGACTTTTTGCAACAACATATCCTGGGGTACTACCTACCAGGATCCATCGTGCTGCTGTGTCAACAAGTGTGTGTGTGTGTGTGTTGGCATTCGACTTTCTTTTTATTGCCAACAATAACCTCCCCCGGTCCCCCCACAGCAATCAACCTCGCAATCCCCTCCCTCTGTCTTTGCCACGGCGGCTCCGGTCCCTGATCTTCTCCTCGCTTGTCTTGTCGAATCTCTGGCTCTTGGTCGACTTCGAAACACGTGCGTCAAGTTTCAAAAGAACCAAACTTCGTTGTCGCATATACACACCCTTTAAGCGCCGTCCACTCAAATCGCTTCCCCGGGTTCGACTCTGAAGCAGTACGGCGCTTCCGCACCAGTCTCTGCATTCTGATTGGCTCAGCCATTTCACCCTTCATCAATAGCAACAGCAACAACATTGAGCAATACTACCTTCTATCTGCTTCAGAAGCTTCCAACGAAACGCAGCCGCCCGACATTCTTAGCGAAACCTCACTTATATTGTCTAGACCCGTGCGCTTAAAGCGTGGCGAGTCAACTCTAAAAAGCCCGCCATGGACCCAACAACAACCCTCTTTACCTTTATGTTGTGAGTTCTTTGAAACTTGTGCTATAATCTCTCTTTCTTTTTTTTTTCCCTTCCCCCTCTTTCCTTAGCTTCACTTCGCTTGCGAGACTGCTGTGCGGTCAATCATTCGTTCCCACATCGTTCGTTTTCACGCAACTCGGTTACACCCCCTCTCGCTTTTCGGCAAAAGACCCGTCTCATATTGTACGTCTGGACATGTTCCACTTCCCAGTTTTTCTTTTTGGTTTTGGACATGGTGCCAGCAGGTGTCGATCGGAAAATCGGATCTCCATGCCCTGTTCGATGAGAATTGAGTATCTCGGCGTCCATCGATCAAAATCCCATGATCATCACCACGCAGGCCGGGGTCCAAGCAAGCGAGCCTGGGCGCGCTGAGAATTTCTGCCAAGCCAGCCTCTACTCAGCAGATCGCCAGAGCTCAATCTCATCCAAGACCGAAGTCTGACGGTGATTGCGCTCGTGGCCTCCTACCTGACCTGACCCAGCTCAAGTCAAGGGAAACAGCCATTATTGGTCAATTCCCGTAATGACCCTTGGCGTGGTATTGGGAATATTGCAGCCTACACTTAGCCTCATCCACTTTTACTCCTCTCATACCCCAAGCCTTTTGATCTGCGCCCACATTCCACCCACTCGTCGACGAGACTAACACGAGAAATAGACGGACTCATCCCTCGGTCAACGCTGTTCACCTGGTCGGTTCTTGGGACAATTTCGGTAAACCTTATACAATGGAGCGTGACGTCAGACGCGACAGAGGCCAGTGGAAGGGATGTTACACCTTCAAGGATATCATCTGCGATGGTGACTCTGGCCGAACCCCAAAACGGAACGGCGGCTTGAAGATGGGCCAGACATATTACTTTTATGTGAGTCCTTGTCCAGAGATACGTCCGTCGGCCCCTGTCATTAACCGAGACCCCCAGTACGAGCTAGATGGCGCCGCTGAGACACATGATCCTACTCTTCCCTCAACAAATAACTGTCCATATCTACCCGGCCAGACTGTCAACACTCTCTATGTTCCTGTCGAGCATACCCTCAGGAACCGCAGCGCATCCACCACCTCCCTTCGCGAGGAAAACTACATGACCATGAATCCCGCCGACAGATACAACACGCCGCAACCCACCGTCGCCTCATTAATGGACGCTGCTTCCCGTGCCGCCACCGCCCCTCTACCTGAGCTCAAGCGCTCTTCCAGGTCTATTTCACCGGGCTCCAGCTGGTTCTCGCCACGTAGGCTGTTCGGTCGCAAGCAAAGTTCTTCCTCCCTGCCGGAGATCAGGCTGCCAACACCTACCGATGATACTCGGAGCATCAGGTCATCCGGGTCAAGCAGGTCCAGGGACATGTCGCCCGAGTCGCTTCGCCGGTTCCTGTCCAATGATGAACTACCCGAAGAGGAGTATCAGACAGTGGAACGTCCGGCCATCACCATTCCTGATGATATCGTCGAGGAGAACGAAGATGACGACATGTTCGCCACATCTGCTGTGTCGGAATACATGCAGTTCACCGGCCTCTCCCCTCCGCCATCCCAACGATCGCTTACCCCTTCTCCGCCTGTCAAAAGCGGCGAGGCTCTTACACCCACTATGGCCCTGACCAGGTGCCCTTCTACGATGCCCTGCCTCGATCTCTCGGTACCTAAGCTGTCTCTCGTCGACACCAGCTCACCTCAGTCCTCGGCCGACTCGCCTCCCGCCTTCTACCACTCCGATGACGATGAGGAGGATGAGACCCTCGACGAGGACCTCCTTCCCCTTCCCATGCTTGACTACAGCACGGCCCGCAAGGCTTCCGCCGGTTCAGTCGGGAGCACCCTCTCCACCTACAGCCTGCCCCAGTCTTCGCCCCAAGAAGCAAAGGGGTCCAAGTCTCTCATGGTCCCCAGGATCGAGACCAGCATTCCCGTCTCGCACACTTCCTTCCTTAACAGCCCTACCCCCAACTCGGGTCTTGAGGACTTGATGACTGAGCTGGGCTGGATGGCTGATGCCATTCGTGGTTAAGCTTTACCAAAATATTCAAACGATCGCTATGCGCATACTGCGCACACATACTATTACACCATAATGTTTTGTCTCAACAATCGTTCAACATTTCATACGTCTCCATCTCAATCTATCTAGCATTTTCGGCGGGCATTCAAAATGGGGTATACTACACTACACTACACTACACTACAATACTATCGCTCAAGCAATCAAGCAGCGGTGTAGAAGGCATAAAACAAGGCGGCGGCGGCAACATCTGAAGTTTTATTTGTTTTTGATCTCTTTTGTTTTTGGCTATTGGGTTTCCTTTGTTGGATGGGTCGGATATGTTGGGAGGCGTGAGATCTACATTTCAGATCTCATCGTTATTTGATCACTCGGGCGTTTTGGGCGGGTGGGAAAGGACATCTATGTGTTATGGGAAGTTATCAGGGAGTCATTCGGGTGGTGAAAGGGTCACGATTGCATATAGGACTGGGAGTGATGATTGGGATGAGGGATGAAAGACCAGAAATCAACTGGGAGGAAAGGAAGGAATTGCAAACTATATATATAAAAAATACTATCGTTTGCCAAGCAACCTCTAATGATCCTTCCTGATGAATACTCGTGACATGTTTAGATCTAAATCAGACAAACAGTGTTATACATACATAACTTATTGTCACTTACCTCAGTCTGGAGCAGATTTTCTGTGTCGGTCATCGCTATCTATTACCGTGTCAAACCAGGATGTGTGAAGAATATCAACTTTGACTTGTGTGACGATGCGATAGATGACTGAGTGAGTGAGTAAAAGAAAACGGTGTTTAGGAAATTTTTGACTGATACGAGACAAGAAAGAGGATGAGCGACGACGGCGTGGAAACAAACAAATAAACAGGTGGATACCAATCACCGCTTGAACAAGTAGACCAAGCGTTCGTCGAGGTAAATGTACCTAGAGAGGATGACGGCATCCATCCATCTTCAATCACTTGGGAAAAAGACGAAAGAGATGTCGAGTGTCAATCATGCCTGCAGAGATTATTCGAGAAAAAAAAAAGAAAAAAAAAAAAAAAATTCCAATGAATCAGATGCACCGTTGACAAACTTTAGGAGCCATTGTGAGAGTTTTTTTTTTTTTTTTTTTTTTTTTTTTTTTTTTTTTTTTTTTTTTACGATTTTTGTACAGTAGGAGATCGAGGTTTAAAATACCAGTGAGTGACGTTTGTCTACCTAAGTAGGGAGCTTTTGTTTACCTAACCTGACAACCCCTTTTTGATTTCGACGAATGAAAAAGCGAGAAAGAAAACAGGTATAAACAAATAAACAAACAAGCCAGTCAATCAATTACCATAAACTCCTAGCCTACCAAGAACAACCAAGCAACCAAGCAAATAACTCCTAATACAAGAATGCCAGTCTATCTATGATCTATCTATCATTTCATGAACTTATTTTCCCCTTCCTCGTAGTTTTTCGGCTTTAATTTCTCTTTTCATTGGGAAAACCATATGGCTGTGCTCAAGAAGCACTAACCTCACTAAACCAACTCCTCAACAAGCCCGCCAACGCCCCCGGCAAATCATCCAAGTGATGCACAATCAAATAATACTGGAACGGGAAACTGTCCAAGTACCGATGAATCACCGGCATGCCATCACTGCCGAACCTGGCCTCTTTCAGATCCAAGACACTCTGGCTTCCCTTTTTGGCGTTTCCTTGAGCATCCCGAGCATCGTCCATGACGATGAAGACGACCATGACTCTTTGTTCCATTGCCTCTCTTAGTAAGGGGCGAAGGCGCGCGTGGTCTTTGGATTGGACGAGACCGTCAGACAGGATAAGGGCGAGTTGCCAGAGATCTTCCCCTCCCGACTGAGAGGACGAGGTGAGGCGCGCGTCGCGGAAGTGATCGATGGTTCTCCGCAAGAGGTTGACCATGTCCGTACCCTCTTGTTTGAAAGTGAATTGCTGCAAGACCCTGGCGCCCGCGTCGTGAGAGGCAAAGGGGTCGGTGAGACGGTGCGCGACAAAGACGTCGGTGCCGAAACCGAGGACGCCGACTTGGCCTACTTCTAGCATTGTAAGCGCGCGGGAGGTCATGACGAGAGACTCCAAAGCCAAGCGGCCGGCGGAACCGGAGTTGTTGAGCGAGTCGCCCATGGATTGGGAGTCATCCACACAGAGCAAGATCTGGTAGGAGCGCTTGGTCGGGATGGCGCGGCGCATCCAGATCTTGTCGCGCTTGTAGGAGGAGGCGATGTAGGGAATGATCTTCTTGATGTTGAGGCGCTTGCCGGTGCGGAAGGAGCCGGAGAGCTTGGTGGACTGCGAAGGGGTGAGGATCAGGCGGAGTTGAGAAGACAAGGACATGGAGAGGGATTGCGTCTTGGTTTGGAAGGTGGTCCACATGGAGAGGGCCTCGTTGAAGTCGCGCAAGGGGCGAGGTGGTTGGTCTTCGAGGTGGATGGCGGAGAGCTGGGTGGACGATTCTTCGTTGATCTCCTCGTCTAGGTCGCCTTCCTTTGCGCTGGCCTTGCGGGCGTCGGAGTCCTCATCGTCAGAGTCTTCAAAGGCACCTTGGTGAGTGGCGACGCCGGAACGGCCGTCCTTGCGGTCCTCCTTGGGAGCGTCGGTGGAATCAGGGGCCTCGGCATCTTCCATGTCCACGTCCTCCTGCTTGCTGTCCTCGGCAGCAGGTTCATCCTCGGGCAAGACGTGGTTGTTGGCATCTTCCATCTCGGTGTCAATGGCCATGGCGTCGTCCATGGGACGGACCTCCTCGTCATTGGCGGTGCCCAGAGCCTGGGTGTCGGGCTCGGCGTCTTCATCCTGCAAGTGCTGAAATTCTACCTTGGCCATGTCGACGTCGGGCTTCTGCTGCTCCTCCTTGCTTTCGGGGGCGTTGCGAATGTCGCGCTGGTTTCTGTACCACCTGTCGAGAGCATCACCGAGCTTCTTGAATGGTTGGCTGCTGGCCTCGGTCTCTTGATCCTCGTTGGGGCCCTCCTGCTGCTCAGTCCTCGACTGCTCACCGTTGGAACCAGGCGCGTTGTCTTGGTCAGAGGACTGGTTGTTGACAGCACCTTGCTCACGCTGGGCGGCTTTGTTGTCAGTAGTGTCGTCCTGCATGTCGTTCTGGTCATCTTGAGCAAGACCACCACCCGTCTTGACATCGCTGGGAGCAGCGTTGTCGTCATCCGCCTGAGCCTGGTCATCGTTCAGACCGGGCTGTTCCTTCTCCTTGTCTTCCTCCTCTTTGTCCAAATCCTGCGGGGCATCTTCATCTTGCTCATCCTCCTTGTCCATGTCCACATCCATGTTGTCCTCATCCATGGGGTTCAGATCATCCGTCTCTTCAGCCTCAGCCTCCTCAGGCTTCTCTGCATCCTTCTGCTCCTCCAGCTGCTGCTCCTCCTCCACGCCATTTGGCGCCTGCTCCTCTTCCATATCTCCATCCTGCGGCTTCTCGCCATCCTCCAGGTCATCCAAGTTATCCTCCTCCTCATCCTCTCCATCGCTGATATCAATCTGCATATCATCCGGCAACGCCAGGGTATCCTGCTCCTGTACGTTCTGGTCCTGATTATTCAGTTCCTCCTGCGGCTGGGCATCACCCTCCTGCTCCTGTCCCGGCTCACCTTCCTCATCATCCTCGTTCTCCTCCTCACCCTCCTTCTTCTCCTTCTTTTCCTCCTCCTCACCCACCGCATCCTCGCTCTCCTGCTGCTGCTCCTTCTTCTCCTTCCCCGGCTCCGCAGCAGCCTGCTCATCCTCATCCTGCTTCCCGCTGTTATTCTCACCCTTCTGATCCTTCTCCGCATCCTCTTCGTCTTTACCATCCCACATCTTCTCATCGACAGCAGTGGGATCGAGATCATCGACACCACCCGCCTCCTCGTCCATCTCATCATCCTCCTCATCATCACTACCATCCTTATCCTTCTTGTTCTCTTCATCTTCCTCTTCAGCCTTCACGCTCCCCATGTCTCCCTCGAGATCATCCTCACCCATGTCCACCGCGTCGGGGTTATCCTCGATATCGTTCTGGTTCTTGTTATTCTGATCCTGCGCGAGCTCGGAAAGGTCTTCGTCATCCTTGATGTCCTTGCTGATATCCTCTGCTCCCTCACCGTCACCTAGACCGGTACCGCTCTGCACGTCGCCAGACTCGCCGGACTTCTCCTTGCTCTCTTCTTGGGGAGAGCAGAAGCCTTGCTTTGCGATGACGATGAAGCTGTTGCTGAGGGTGTAGCCCAGACGGCAGGTGGACCGGTGCAGGTCGGCGTACTGAGCGAGGTTCTGCTGGCACGTGGCGGCGTACTGCTCGAGCATGGGCAGAATGGCGCGCAGGAGCGCAGTCTCGGTGTCCCGGACGGCAGGCTGGGACAGGTCGGAGGTCTTGAGCAGGCGGAGGATGCCGTCAACTTCGGAGGTGATTCGCGGCATGGCAAGGGTGTTGATGGCCTTCTCGAGGCCTTCGCTGTGGGCCAGGAACCAGCCGGCGTCTTCTTGGCTTTGGGGCAGGTTCTTGACGGCTTCAGGGAACTTTTGCAGGGCGACAAGGATGCGGCTGGACAGGTCCAGAGCGGACTTGGCGAACTCGTCGATGGTGGTTTCCTGAAGCTCGTTGGCGATGGCGACGGTTTGGGCGCTGGTCCAGAGCTGGACTTGGCGGATGACGAAGGCCATGTCGGGTCTTTCGAGCAAGAGACTGCTGAGGCTTTCGCGAAGACCGTCGAGCTCCTTCTCGGCATCGCTATGGAGCTGCTCGAGAGTGAAGGAGCTGAAACCTGTAGGCAGACGAGGCAGGCTCTCCTGCTTGGTGGCCAGAGTGGCGAACGTATCGAGCCACTGCTGCAACTTGCTGCGAACTTGGTCGTTGCTGGTCTCGCCGAGCTTGCCGTGGACGTCAACCATGTAGACGGCGAACTTGAGGATCTGGACAAGCCAGCGCAGGACACGACCGTGGTTCTTTACGCTCTTCTGCGACTGAATGGCCACCTCGCCGCTACGGCCTGAGACCTCCTTGGTGAAAGTAATGGCTTCGGAGAGAGCACGCTCCGCCTCAGCTGTGCGCGAGAGATACATGCGCTGCTTGAACATAACGTACAGAATACCCTCGAGGAAACCAATGGAACGGTGGACGATCTCGCGGTTAAGATCATCGTTGTGTTCGAATGTAGCCTGGCGGAACTTGGGCGCCAAATCGAGCATCTTATGGTAGAAGT